TGAGTACTCTGGTCACACGACTATAGCACTAATTGATATTTATTAGTTCAAATGAATCTTAAATCTTGAAATATATTTATCAGGATGAATTAATGGGAAAGAATTGTCTCAAGGATCCACCTGTGACTTGCTGTATCGATGCAATCATTTACCAGACTCTGTATGTGCCAAACATATAACTCCACCCTTTCAATAACTGTGGCTTGCTGTATTGATGCAATCATTTACCGGACTCTGTATTTACCAAACATATAACTCCATCCCTTCAATAACTGTATTCCTATTTAATTCCTCCCCATATAATCCCAACACAAACCTTTCCTTGTGTAACCCCCAAACCCATAACCCATTCTACCCCTTTACCAATGGTTACCCTCCCTTGCATGCTAGATCTTTTACCCTTTCATCTCAATGAAACCCTCCTCCCATGTGCACTCCTCCTCATGTTGCCCTATCTCTATGTTGCCCTCACTCTGTCTTCTGCTGCAGACATGGCTCCTTCATACCTCTCTCTGTTGTTGTCAACTTATATGCCTGCCCATTCTCTCTGCCCACAGAATCAAGATCTTCTCTCAGTTCTCCAAGTTCATCTCAAACACATTGGACATATATCATTCAAATTTGCAGCACCCTTCCTGTGGAACAGTCTTCTTTCTCCCATCAAAAATGCTTCTTCATCTTTAGAAGCATTCAAGTCAGGACTCAGAAACCTACCTCTTCCAAAAATTCAACTACCTATAACTACCAAATATTCTGATGGTCTTTTTGACAAACTGTCATATTGTCCTCATGAACTCTAGTGGTTATTATATTTAGCGCTTTGAACATGGTCTGGGTGGACTATAGCATACAAGAAATATCCATTTATTATTATTATCATTATTATGTTACACCCTCCCATGCTACCCCGTCCCTCATGTTACCTCTGCTTTTCCCTCTCTGTTACCCCATAACCAAGTTCAACACCCCTACCAATTATTGACTCGTGAAGATCCGGGTTAGAATTGATCTTCAGTAACCCATATTTGTCGTAAGAGGCGACTGACGGCATCGGGTGATCAGGCTCGCTGACTTGGTTGACACATATCATTGTATCCCAATTGTGTAGATCGATGCTCCTGCTGTTGATCACTGGATTGTCTGGTCCAGACTCGATTTTTATAGACTACAGCCATATAGCTGGAATATTGCTGTGTGTGGCATAAAACCAAACTCACTCACTCTACCAATTGTCACCCCATCTCCATGTTACCCCCTCTGCAGTTGTTACTCAGCACTTGTAGCCTCCTTGGAGCAGAAGCCATTATTACACATAATGTGTAGATGACAGAGCTGCTGGTGGTTACCATGATTGGCTATCATCAGCTCATTACATTTGCATGGTCTTCAGATCATAACCTACATGAGACATCAGTTTGATGACTTGTAATTTGACCGTTGTCAGGTTACCATGATGACAAGCCAATTTTTCTGTGAAGTGAAACAAAGGGCGAGGTATTGATCATCATGTCACAATTATGTTCACACTCTGTAACTTATAAATGTTACATTTATAAATGAAGTATTAGCACCCAGGCCTTCCAGCTATAGCTGAACCTCATTATTCAATTCACGGTTTCTTCAGACATCATCTTGTCGAGGAAACAGAAGTTCCAGTTGATTAGGGCACTCCAATTGGTAGTCTGTCTCAGCCCCTGAACCACATCACTTTCCCTTTCTCCCAACCGTGATGGGAAATTTTAAATGAAAAGAGTCCAGATTTAGGTTCTGAATGTCCCACATGCTGGGACTCTTTATCAATTTTTCTGGAGTCAGAAACTATGTGTAAGTCTGCCCAATGTGCTCATGAGATCTGTAAATCATGGTTGTATACATTATGGTTACAGATCTGATATTTACCATTTGATTGCCAGCTCCACACTGTACACATCATTATACGGTCTGTGTAACTTATACTGTTTAATTACTCACCCGTTGAAGATATCACTTTTTTAATAATTTTAACACATTGTGTAATAACATCAAGCGATGCGGTACGTATGACGTCAAGGTGGTTTACAGTTATGATGTCACAATGCTAGTACCTCTGTCTCAATAGTATTAGACCTTGCTTGACTCGCGGAAAGCTGAGAGTCATCACACTTGTTAAATTCTTAGGAAAGAAGTACTTTACTCCGTATTATTTTGCTAATGTTGGGTGAGTAATAAATGAGATACTAAACTATGTCCCCCGAGCGAAAGAGAGTTAGATACCAAACCATTCACTCGTTTCATAAATATGGTATTACACGGGACATAGTTTAGTATTCTTTATATAACTGCCAGGATATGACAGTTAAACACTTCCTTCACTGAGTTTAACCAGGTAGTATTACATTCTATTCCTGGTGTGAACCTTGATGTATCTGCTATGACATGAATGTAGTTCAGTGATAAAGACTTCACCATATTCACTAGTGATGTCCCACATACCGACCATTTTCACTGATATGGCCATAAGCTTATCAACCAGACCAAACTTCACACGACCAAAGTTTTTTCTGTTTCACATGTTTAGTCAGTATTTCAGATGCTGAATTCAAGCATTAAACTCTGGAAATTGTGTGGATTTGAGGTTAATTTGCTAAAATGAACTTTAATTAGGCCAGACCAATTTTATTTCTTGTTTTACAGATTTTTGTCCTCAGAAAACCTAAAGGCAGGAGGAAAAAAAATAAAAAATAAAAATCACTAGTCCAAATAATTTTTCTTTTAAATACTAAAAGTATTTTATTTTTGGCAATTTATGAAGTTTATGAGGATTTTATTTTTTGAGTGGGGAAAATTATTATTTATTTTTTTATTTTTCTTGAAAAAGTACGACCGGCGGATCCATAAAACAAGAAATAAAATTGGTCTGGCCTTATGTTACAATATGAAAAAATAATGTTTAAGTATGACTATGTTTTCAAAATAATGAAAAATAACATTTTTGATTGTCGTCTCTTTCTTCGGCCTCCTGTCATGTACAATTTCTAAGCCTTGTTTAACTGAAACGTGTGACGCCTCAAAGTGAATTTTTGTAAGTTGATCATGTTTAATTGAATCAATCATATTTTTCAAAAAGAAGACAGACATTCCACTGAACAAATCTTTTTTTGGCCTTGCGGACCAGTTTCAGGGTTCTGTCACCATGGGTCCAGCTTTTTCAGCCTTGGAGATAATTTATCATCGTTGCTGTTTGAAGTGTCTCCTGTTTCATGTTTAATGACAATAATGAAATACTCTTGCTGTACAATGCTACAGGGTGATGGTTAACATACTGAATGGGTTTAGTTTATCATCTGATAAGAATATTTACAGCGTTACATGACATGCCTGCTTGTGGGGTGCTCAAGCTGAATCTGATGCAAGTGGCAGAGGTTTATCACTCTGGACCCCATTTCACAAAGCTCCCGTAAGCCTAAGATCTTGTAACTTTTCTCGTAGCAATCGTACCTCCTATACTCTAACATTGACTTACGACAGTCGGAGTGCTACGATAGCTTTGTGAAACGGGGCCCTGATCAAACCATGGTGTATGGTCCAAGGATTTCAACTTTAGTATGCGTTATGGGCACGCCCCAGTAGAGTTTAGCTCCATGTAAATGGACATTATCATATTATTATTATTTTAGTATTTATAATTTGAGACCAGCACTATAGGATGTATTTCACATATGAAACTTTAATAATTGGTTATTCCTTGTCACTCCCATTTTCTTTATGTTACCCATAGTCATTTTTCCTGAGAAAAAAAAAATGTCCTAATCTCATGTTGAGACCTCAATTTGTTTGGATGGTATTGTCAGTGAATGATGTGAACTCAGTACTCAATAGTCTGCGAATTTACTGGCTTCTCGGGTGCTCAGACCAGACCAATGGTTGAATCCTTGTTTATAACTTAACTGAATATTGGATGCATGCATTTGTCTTAGATGAATCAGTAAAATAGTTCATACCTGTGAAGTATTGACAATGTGTTTGAACTCAAGCAACATGTTAAAGTGTTAAAGCAGATAAACAAACCCTGCAAGTATTGCCTGGTTATTCTATTAGTTTGTCATACAGACCCTGAAACAAAAATATCCAACACAGTCAACGCAGGACTATAATTCTTGGCAAGTCTAGATTACTGCAGTTTTGGGATGAAGAAACTCTGTCAGAGATGCCAACCTCTATGAGTTTATCGTAGTCGCTACGGTTTTTTAGCCTCAAACTACACCAATACGTTTGCACTAGAGGTGAGGTGAAATTGGGTTTAACGTCGTGATTGAGAATATTTCGCTCATATGACGACGGGCATGCGTGTGTATGTGTATGTGCGGCTGCTTGTACTAGCCCAGACTGAAGCTTGTTTTATAGTGCTAGCCCACTGAGATGCCATGCCGCAGTGAAGCATGAATACCCCACACAGACACATTATACTGACACCGAGCCGACCAGTCCTTGTTGTACCCTTTAATTTTAACGCATTTGGGTATGACGCGGTCGGGTATCGAACCTGCTCTCCGGGCGGACGCTCTAACCACTACACCACGGAGGCGGTCCGATTGCACTAGAAATTCTACAAAAGATGAAAACAATTCATTAATATTCTGATATACAGGCAAAAACATATTTTTGTCAATTAAATACAAAAAGAAATGTAATGCTGATAATTAGGGAATTTGCTGTTGGTCAAACTACTAATTTTGATCCTTGAAACTACTATTTGCAACACCTTGGGGTTGGCATCTCTGCTCTCTGAGTTCCCTTTCATAATATTTCATTAAAATAATGAAAGAACTGTTGTTGTTTTCTGTAAAATATATTCATTTACAGACTCCATTTCTGAATAATTATACAAACTGTAGCTGTGTTGTAATATCTTAATACTTGAATGCATTTCAAAACTAATTTCAGGTTTATAATTGGAAGGGAACATACCTGAAGATCTTTTTTTACTTGAATAAGTAAAGTGAACAAATTGTATTTTTCAGTTGTGTACAACTACACAACTGGTGATGTGAAGGGTTGTCTCCCCTTGGAAATCGGAGAATGCGTCCACATCCTGGAAGAGTACTGTACAGGATCGGGAGCTGACCGGAAAGGTAAAACAACAAATCAGTAGGGAGAGGGGTCTCGTACCAGCTCATAACTTTTCCATAAGACTATCTCTGATTTTTAATGAAATCAGTGAATGTCCGGAGCATTGAATGTCAAATGCTGTTTGTACAATGCATTGAAGTTACAAACAATATTTAATGAATGAAGGCTGAACTGGGTTATCAGGTGCCCTTTTTCAGTTATGTTGTCCATTCCCTGTCTAACCACCTCCATGGCTGAGTTGATAGAGACTGTGTCCAGAAAGTGAAAGTCCATGGTTTCATCCACTGACAATATGGCTATAAGTGAATTATTCATGAATACAATGTTAAACAATGTTTCTGTTTGTCTGAATCAGCTTTGTCTTTGTTTATCAAATTATTAAGTTCTTTACTGACAGCCGCAATTTTGATAATCTAATTAATTGGCCAGTAGCTGGTAAAATTTGCTCTGGTAGACTTGATGGCGGTTCAGTGGAAGGACTTGCATCTCTGTATGGATGGTCACCGATACTGTTCCCTGTCTGATATAAGCTGTAAAGTTCCCTTCCTAAGAACATGGCCAACTGAAAGATCCCTGCATTGCTGGGCCTAGATTTTCGAAGCTCTCTTAGAGCTAAGATAGTCGTAAGTGCTATACATTAACATTAACTTACAACTGACTATCTTAGCGCTAAGAGAGCTTCGAAAATCTAGGGCCTGGATGCTCTATAGAACAGACCAGACCACTCGTGGATGTCCAGGGTTTAAGTTACCTCTGTTGATGATCAGTGAACAAAACTCTTTCCTTTTCCTCTGCTTGGTCAGAGTTAACTAACCAGTTGTATCTCCCAGTGACTGGATTCCTCTTACTTAATACTGATTGAATATTTGAAGTAAAATTAGAAGTGCTTCACATAAAGGTAAGAATTTATGGATGTCAACTTCTTTATTTTTAAGGCATGATGTTTCAGAGTACTGACTTCTTGATCAGAATATGCTCCGAAATGTCATGTTCCTCAAATAAAGAAGTTGACATCCATAAATTCTTGCCTTTAATACTGATTGGCTCTGGATACTGTTTCCTCTCCCAATTATTGGTTATCTAGACAGGTCCCTTCTCCTGATGGTTGGTCAACTAAACATTTACTTTTTCCAAGTCATAGCCAGCTGTTTACTTCTGACGATTGTTTAACTTAGTGGTTAATCTTCAAACTAATAGTTACCTAAACAGTTCCCTTCTATATATGTTAAATATAGCTTCCTGCCTAAATTGTTAGTTTGCTGAGCAGATAATCTGATTTGTCCATTATAATCAATTTTTAAAATATTTTCATGAAATTTTGAAATGATATTGAATGGTTAGGTGGAAATTATGACCTCTTTGCCCTGTCAATTTGTGATGTCAGGATATAATCACATTAAGGCACAAAAGTTCTACCACAGTTGAGTGGGTTAGATTGATGACTTTGTATGCTTGCGATCAGGTGCCTCACTCTGTGAATGTGGGTTCGAATCCAAGATGGGACTCTTGAAACTCTTTTAAAATCTGTACATTACTGAGAGAATGTTATCCTAAATATAACCTATGTTACTTTTCACCACTTTCTAAAAGGCATTGTATATTCACATGAAGGAAGTACATGGTGTGCTTTCTTTGGTGACCTGAATAACATGCTATATTATCTGTAACTGCTACTGCATGCTGTAACCCATCACACACCTGTATCAGGTTATCAGAGTGGCCAGGTGAGATGCCCTAGATCTGCACAGGTAAGTGTGAGTTTTGAAACAGGATGATATAATGAGCTGGTGGCCTGTTATAGGATATATATCCAACCAGGAAGTGAAGTGCAGGTAGAATCGTGTTACACCTGTCAACAGTCAGCTGTGTGGGGTCCATTTCAATTGTCACTGAGGACAGCTAATATTGGATTGACATGAATTGTGTTCGTCTTTTTCTTTTATCTTTCTTACTTAAACAAACGTATCATGAACTCAGCGGGAGATTAGATTTGAGTTGGAAATTGCACTTTTTGTAGTATATAGTTATACTAAGGAATTCCATCCATCCATTCGTTTGAAGACATTGTTGTTTAACCAGTGACCTGAATAGAGTGTTTTCTAATTTGGGGGATCACCCTCCATAGCTGTTGCACAGGTGCAGTGCAACACCATATATTGATATATTTAATTAATCTAGAATTATCACAAACTAGATCCCCTGAACTCTGGGGAAAACGTCCCATATCAAATTAACAATTTAGTGGATTATTCAGATTTGGGTAATAGTAACTTCTTTGTTTGTAGGAAAGGTACAATTCAAACTTGGATGCAGTTCGTGCATTTTTTCAAGAATAATAATTATTAATTGCTGTTCAGCTGAAATTGGGTGTCATGGTCGAGAGTCTTAGTGAGCCTTGCTTACATTTTGGGGGGTTGTTGTTTTATCATACTGCCTCTTCATTGTTGGCATATTCATATTTGTTGATGTGTATTTTTACAATATACATGTAGCTTGAAGATTATCTAAAAAATTACTACGTGTAGGAAATGTGTTTCTTTTAAGCTCTTACTGTTTGTGTATCATCACCAAAGAAAATGTTTGAAATGATTGAAGTAAGCTAAGTCTGCTCGAGCCCTGCACCCCATTAAGAATAAGTGTCAGCTTGATCTTTCTTCATCTGTATTTTTTCAATAATTGTTTCTTGAGCACAGTGACTTATTATTCAACATCATAATTTAGGTTAGGTTACTTTTACCAAGTAAACGAATTTATAAATTTTAGGCTTCACTGTGGTATATGTATTATATGTTATGTTACTTGAAAAGTTACTTGTGGTAAGAGTATCATTGTAGGTCTTCTATAAAGATTGGAATTAATGTACTATGTATTCATGTATAATGTATTCATGATGTACACATGACACATACAATATCTATAAGTTAACTTGAATAAATGGTTAGTTTTAGTTTTAACAAAGGCATGTCCAGTCAACTGAAATAGATGAGCTTTCGTCACGTAAAGTATATGTGAGTGTTGAGTTTGACCATGATGCTTTGCATTAAGATATCTCCGTTGGCTGCACACCAAGCTAATGTCACTGTTCAACCCTAATGCAGTGGAACATGTCAGGTGCATGTATTGCAGGAGATGACATTAGGGAGTAATTGGATAGGCAGGCATTGTTCCATAGGGCAAAGGTAATAAATGCCTTAGGGTTTGCATTACAGCCTTACACATTGTTATGATATAATGTGTGGTGCTATAGTGTATTCCACAGGAATGTAGTGTATTACACAATGTTATAGTGTATTCCACAGCAATGTAGTGTATTACACAATGTTATAGTGCAATTCCACAGTGCTATAGTGTATTCCATAGTGCTTAGGTGTATTACTCAATGTTATTGTGTATTCCACAGCAATGTAGTGTATTCCATTGTGCTTTAGAAAATATTAGTGGATTATTCAGATTACACTAGTGTAGTGTAGTGTATTCCACAGTGCTATAGTGTATTCCACAGCAATGTAGTGTATTCCACAGTGCTATAGTGTATTCCACGGTGCTATAGTGTATTCCACAGCAATGTAGTGTATTCCACAGTGCTATAGTGTATTCCACAGCAATGTAGTGTATTCCACAGTGCTATAGTGTATTCCACAGTGCTATAGTGTATTCAAGGGCAATGTAGTGTATTCCACATTGCTATAATATATTCCACAGTGCTATAGTGTATTCAAGAGCAGTGTAGTGTATTCCACAGTGCTATAGTGTATTCCACAGTGCTGTAGTGTATTCCACAGTGCTATAGTGTATTCCATAGCAATGTAGTGTATTCCACAGTGCTATAGTGTATTCAAGAGAAATGTAGTGTATTCCACAGTGCTATAGTGTATTCCACAGTGCTATAGTGTATTCCACAGTGCTATAGTGTATTCCACAATGCTATAGTGTATTCCACAGCAATGTAGTGTATTCCACTGTGCTATAGTGTATTCAAGAGCAATGTAGTGTAACATTACAAACATTCGGCCGTGGGAGTCGTGCCAATTCACACTTATCAGAGGGGTACAGAGTCCGCAGTCTAGACTACCAGTTGTCCGACTTCCATTTTGTGGAAACCGCGGTGGCTGAGTAGTCATCTGACTTAATGTGCTGGCGATTAGGTGCCTGACTCTGAGGGTGTGGGATCGACTCCCGGATTGGACTCAACCCCAAAAAGTACTAGAATTTGTACTTTACTGAGAAAGTGTAATCCCAAATATAACGTATGTTGCATAAAATGTGTTACAGTTCTTTTAGTGTCTTCCACATTTTCAAGGTGTATTGGACAGACTGCATTATTGCACTTATAGCACAGTGATGTAGTGTATTCAACAGTAATAAGTATATTACACAGTGATGTAGTGTATTCAACAGTAATAAATATATTACACAGTGATGTAGTGTATTCAACAGTAATAAGTATATTACACAGTGATGTAGTGTATTCAACAGTAATACGTATATTACACAGTGATGTAGTGTATTCAACATTAATAAGTATATTACACAGTGATGTAGTGTATTCAACAGTAATACGTATATTACACAGTGATGTAGTGTATTCAATAGTAATACGTATATTACTCAGTGATGTAGTGTATTCAACAGTAATAAGTATATTACACAGTGATGTAGTGTATTCAATAGTAATACGTATATTACACAGTGATGTAGTGTATTCAATAGTAATACGTATATTACACAGTGATGTAGTGTATTCAACAGTAATAAATATATTACACAGTGATGTAGTGTATTCAACAGTAATACGTATATTACACAGTGATGTAGTGTATTCAACAGTAATACGTATATTACAGAGTGATGTAGTGTATTCAACAGTAATAAGTATATTACAGAGTGATGTAGTGTATTCAACAGTAATAAGTATATTACACAGTGATGTAGTGTATTCAACAACAATAAGTATATTACACAGTGATGTAGTGTATTCAACAGTAGTAAGTATATTACACAGCAATGTAGTGTATTCAACAGTAATACGTATATTACACAGTGATGTAGTGTATTCAATAGTAATACGTATATTACTCAGTGATGTAGTGTATTCAACAGTAATAGGTATATTACACAGTGATGTAGTGTATTCAACAGTAGTAAGTATATTACACAGTGATGTAGTGTATTCAACAGTAATAAGTATATTACACAGTGATGTAGTGTATTCAACAGTAATAAGTATATTACACAGTGATGTAGTGTATTCAACAGTAATAAGTATATTACACAGTGATGTAGTGTATTCAACAGTAATAAGTATATTACACAGTGATGTAGTGTATTCAACAGTAGTAAGTATATTACACAGTGATGTAGTGTATTCAACAGTAATAAGTATATTACAAAGTGATAGGGCAGCACATGCTCACCCTTTAACCAAACTTTTTGTGTCAACACATATATTTTTCTATATATTTGACTATTCTTTTGTTCTGGCCCTTTTTATGCATAGTGTATATGGAAGTGAGTGTGTGAGTTTAGTTTTACGCCGCACTCAGCAATATTCCAGCTATATGGCAGCGGTCTGTAAATAATCAAGTCTGGACCAGACAATCCAGTGATCAACAGCATGAGCATCAATCTGCGTAATTGGGAACCAATGACATGTGTCAACCAAGTCAGCGAGCCTGACCACCCGATCCCGTTAGTCACGTCTTACGACAAGCATGGGTTACTGAAGATCAATATTCTAACCCGGACCTTCAGGGGTATAGTGTATATGGTGTCTTACACATTGCTGTAGTGTATTCCACAGTAATGTAACATATTACCCAGTGTTTAGTAGGGTATTCAAGAATGATATAGTTAGCACACCAAGTGACTTAGGAAGGGGCATAACCTTGTGATATCAAACATTAACATAGTCCAATTTTGCTCGCTGGATGGGTCCTTGCTTTACGTGTTGGCTTCAGTCAGCCACCGTGTTACCCAAAATTCCAACATGGCTGGGTAACTAACCAACAGAAGACGAGTTCATACTGGGCAATAGCAAGATCATTGTGTTATTTGAGAATTGGAATTAAAAGTGGATGTTTTTGACATGTGAATAATGGTCTGTAGGCAAGAAAGAGAATCTGAAAATATGATGTGTTGTTTTTATATCGACTGTTTACTGATATATTTAAGAGCAGATATAATGGCAGTTGCTTCAGCTGTGAAAATGGAACTGTTGTCTAGTAATCAAGAAAACATTTTGCTGGATCCAATGATTATAGCTTGACTTTGATGTGTTGACAAAACTTGGAAAAATAGTTTTAAAATGCCAAACCATAAATTTAGAAATTGCATGGACTTCCTGCTAAAGTGTATTACACAGGGATGTTGTGCTAAGAATAGCATGATATAGTTAGATATAATGTATATATTCTTTTGTAATGAATTTTGAGGAAAATCCTAAAATGTCAGTAAGTACAGTCCGTTTGAGTCAGAGACGGACCGATGAATTGCAAATTTATCATTGTACAAAATTGCCACATAAATATAAATGGTACACATGTTTATCATTTACTAATACCCAACAGCTTTCTTATATTTGAAAATTTTCCGACTCCACCAAAAAAGTTCTTTAAGAAACTATTAAAATTTTGACACAGTTCACTATTTGTTACGAGGGAGGAGTGCAGAGAAAGGGGCAGCCAGGTGTGCGAGAAAGGATGGAGACGGCACAGCATAGGCTAATGAATCAATAACTTGGTGGGCTCTTGTGCACGTGCTTCTCTAACACTTGGCAGTCCCTTTCTCTGCACTCTTCCCTCGTAACAAATAGTGAACTGTGTCAAAATTTTAATGATAGTTTCTTAAAGAACCTTTTTGGTGGAGTCCGGAAAATTTTCAAATATAAGAAAGCTGTTGGGTATTAGTAAATGATAAACATGTGTACCATTTATATTTATGTGGCAATTTTGTACAATGATAAAATTTGCAATTCATCGGTCCGTTTCTGACTCAAACGGACTGTAGTCATAACTGATGACCGAACAGTTTGGAGAAACAGAATATCATCAATCTTAAATGATAGAACCCCAAAGATTTCCTTTGTAGAAATCATGTGGTAGTGCCTGCCGGTGACAGGTTGTTGTGAGTCTCTGATTTCTGTGGGTTGAGAGTAAAACTGTGTCAGTATTCCATTGACTTGACCGCCGTAGTACAGAGCTACAACCACTATTACTTTGGTCCTTCGTCCCAAGTGATACTGAAACATTCTTCCAAGTAGAGTTTAACCCATTCACTCGCTCACTCAATCGTCTGTTCCAGCAACATGGTATCGAGGCTACTCCTTCCACAACCGGAAAGCCAAGGTAAGTGCATATCATCTTGTCTCAGACTGAGTTTTAGAAATTTTTCTTTTGGTGAAGCTTTTGTTATGTTTATAAGATAATAGAAATAATTTCACAGTAAAGTTAAAGTTTTTCTCTTAGTTTTCTACATGTAAATCAAATTCTATTTTGTCATATAGGGCATATTTCCGGCATCATTCGTCCACCTGAAAGAATGCAAAGTAGAAAACGAGGGGTGAGTTATTTATTTATTCTGGTTTGGTTCATTTTATAAAAGAAGTATACTTTATCATACATAGTTGGAAAGATGTGCTTATTATTGTCCTATGTAATGTTAAAAATAAAGTATAGTGTTTGGAGCTTATTCAAGCCATTGATGTTAGTTGTCCGTCACTGATTAAGTCGTCAGGCTCAGTGGTTTGCTTGATGGCATGTCAGTGTACTGTGATGGTTTCAGTCTTTGCTCATACTATCACTCACTAGCTTTTTGGTCAGGATTTGAATCGTTACATTTTGTGATCAGATTGCTGGAGTATGTTGTGGCTTGAAACAACTAACAAATCATTCATATTACATGTACAGCTTCTCGAGAAGTTTAGGACACATCTATTTATGTGATGTGTTTCCGTTCCAAAAGCTCCTCAAAAGATTAAATGTGAGGAGATACAGGTGTTTCCTATGAAAAAGTAAATCTTTGTTCACCAAATATTGCCAGAGAGTTCTGGTAGACGGGGGTAGGAGTTTTTTTGTCCGAGGGCTTTGGTAGACAAGTATTTGCAGCTTTAGTTGTAATTTGCTAATTTGGGCTCATTTGTTTCTGCTGTCAGCCCCTACGAGAGTGTGATTCCCATAGAGGATGCGATTATCAAGGAGGTGACCTTCGTGTTGCGAGAATGGAATCTCATCTGGAAGCAACTCTTTGTGGTAAGTCACACAATCAGCACTCCATCAGTGATTGGAACAATACCCGAGACTCTAAACTTTGGACAGATGATGTCATGCCCAAGTGTAATTTTATCTATAGACCCAAAATTTGAGTTGTATTAAATTCAGATTTTCAGGGGTGTTTTTTGCTGTTACACATATAGTCACAGAAATAAGGTCATCCTATTCAAAAATATATGTCCAGAAAATGAAAAATAGGATCCAACTGGAGCTTGGAACATTGCCCAATTTCAAAGCTGAGGTATTTTAGACTCAGCAAATCGGATAGTTGGGTAGCGTTCTTAATTAATTCTCTAACACCTACCTTGTTACACAGCTTAAGCATAAGTAAACATTAAAGGTTCTTTCTATTGCAGGAAGACAACAGGCTGTTCAGGACAATCAACACCGTCATTGTAGACCTCATGAGCTTCCGGTGCCAACTTCTTGCCAATACTCTGACCAATGACCAGTCCCGAGACATGAAAGAACAGATCATCTCCCGAATAGACTGGGGCAATGGGTGAGTATCTTTTGTATAGACTGGGGCAATGGGTGAGTATCCCTTGTATAGACTGGGGCAATGGGTAAGTATCCTTTGTTTAGACTTGGGCAATGGGTGAGTATATCTTGTATAGACTGGGGCAATGGGTGAGTATCCCTTGTATAGACTGGGGCTCGATGGGTGAGTATCTCACGTTTAGACTGGGGCAATGGGTGAGTATCCCTTGTATAGATTGGGGCAATGGGTGAGTATCCCTTGTATAGACTGGGGCAATGGGTGAGTATCCTTTGTATAGACTGGGGCAATGGGTGAGTATCCTTTGTATAGACTGGGGCAATGGGTGAGTATCCTTTGTATAGACTGGGGCAATGGGTGAGTATCTCCTGTTTAGACTTGGGCAATGGGTGAGTATCCTCTTGTATAGACTGGGGCAATAGACTAGTATCTCATGTATAGACTGGGGCAATGGGTGAGTATCCCTTGTGTAGACTGGGGCAATGGGTGAGTATCCCTTGTGTAGACTGGGGCAATGGGTGAGTATGAGTATCCCTTGTATCCCTTGTAGACTGGGGCAATGGGTGAGTATCTCCCTTGTATAGACTGGGGCAATGGGTGAGTGATAGACTTGGGCAATGGGTGAGTATCCTTTGTATAGACTGGGGCAATGGGTGAGTATCCTTTGTATAGACTGGGGCATGGGTGTATCCCTTGTGTAGACTGGGGCAATGGGTGAGTATCCCTTGTGTAGACTGGGGCAATGGGTGAGTATCCCTTGTGTAGACTGGGGCAATGAGTGAGTATCCCTTGTTTAGACTGGGGCAATGGGTGAGTATCCCTTGTGTAGACTGGGGCAATGGGTGAGTATCCCTTGTATAGACTGGGGCAATGGGTGAGTATCCCTTGTATAGACTGGGGCAATGGGTGAGTATCCCTTGTATAGACTTGGGCAATGGGTGAGTATCCCTTGTATAGACTTTGTATCCCTTTGTTAGACTGGGGCAATGGAGTGAGTATCTCTTGTATAGACTGGGGCAATGGGTGAGTATCCCTTGTGTAGACTGGGGCAATGGGTGAGTATCCCTTGTGTAGACTGGGGCAATGGGTGAGTATCCCTTGTTTAGACTGGGGCAATGGGTGAGTATCCCTTGTATAGACTGGGGCAATGGGTGAGTATCCTTGTGTTTGTGTAGACTAGGGGCAATGGTGAGTATCCCAGGCAATGGGTGAGTATCCCTTGTGTAGACTGGGACCCATTGTATAGACTTGGGCAAAGGATGAGTATCCCTTGTATAGACTGGGGCAGTGGGTGAGTATCTCCCGTATAGACTGGGGCAATGGGTGAGTATCTCCCATATAGACTGGGGCAATTGACTAGTATCTTCTGCAAAGGCTGGGGCAGTGGTGCGAATCATCTGTACAGTTATATCGAGGATGCTTGTATGTCTGGGTAGCTGTCTTCATAGAGAGGGCCTGAATGTTTGTTTCAGGAAGCTTGGTTTGGACCTGGTCCCACGTCGAGAAGGGAAGCAAGTTGACCCGGACAACTGCAGCTTCATCGAGCTGTACAGACTACACTGTCAGAGCATGGAGGCAAGCAAGGGAACCAGTGTAGGTAGTTCACACTACATTAGTGGGCAGTTTTCACTGTTCAGGTCTTCTTTAGAAACCTTACATTCCACCTCATCACCAAAAAGCATTTAGGGGTCACAAGTCAGGTGATATCGCTCATGGTGAAAAATAGAGAGGTGACCAAACTTGTAAATCTTGAATCTAGAGTCTTGCCTGACATTAAAACATGTTACACATGTGCTAACAAGGAAGTTTGTTTCACCCAGTAGTAATGGGCTACCAGGAAAATGGCTTCTCATAACGCAATTCTCCCCAGGGAGTTGAGAATGAAATTCATACATAATGGAGAGTAGTGATCTTGCATCCGTTGGTGTGTTCAGAACAAATTATGTATGTGTGATTCTTGTTAAAACTTTGATACATTCACAAATATCAATTTCACCATTGAGTCAGAAAGAATGCTATGCTTTTCCAGCCTCGCAAACAGACTATGAGAGACAAGGTGCGGAGTAGTCGGGAGAAGGTGGCGTCATCTATGTCTCATCTTGTGGTCAACTTCAAGTCACTTGCTTGCAATGTTGGTGACGAATCGGAGACCTACTTCTCCCTGTTTGACAGCAGCACCAGCAAGTTCATCAGGTGAGGTTGATGCAGTCCACTCTGTTGAGTTGCATCAGTTAAACATGCCAGAACTGTCATGATTGTTTCTCGCTCGATAGGTCAAACTGTTTGAAGAGTGCTCAGTGCCCATTCAAAACTCTGACCATTGCAGCCATAGGTGCAGGATCCACTTGCACAAAGTGATATTTGCACCATGGGAATCGTAAGTCTATGTTACTGTGTTGAAGTTACGATCACATTATCGCAAAGATTGCTCTGTGCAAGTAGACCCTGGTCCATCGGGTGTCACTTGGGCAACTGGTCCACTTTATGTACTTCAACCATGGGTGTGTGGATTCAGCAGAAAACAGAAGAGCATGGTTTGCATGATCTGTTCAATGTGGACTCTTCATGGAACTAGTGTATGTGGCTGTGCTGTAATAAAAGGGATTGTGTAGACAAGAGATATGAGTATATTTGAGGGTAAATAAGATGGGAGAGAACAAGTGTGATGGAAAGCTGATCCAGTATTATGCCATCAAATTATGCTTGTCAATGTGGACTACCAGAAGTTAGGCATAACCAACACCATAACGAAGATATTAATTACTCAATCATATATCTGTTATTTTGTCTCAGTATTATTCTTTTGTTGTGAAATTAATCATTTATGTATCCAGCTATTGGAACAATGTACTGGAGCAGCGTTTATATAAACCACTAGGCTTGTTTACCTATCCAGGCTTCTGCTTGGGCAAAATAAAAATATGTTTAAACCAAATTCAAGGTCAAACTATTTCTTAAATCAAATTTTACAGCCATTTACGTTAACATTGTTATAAAGTCAACATTACTATGAAATCCAAATTTTACATCCATATCAAAGTTTTTATCAAAGCGAACATTTTTTAAAAAGAAACTAAATTATTCATCAAAATCTACATAATTTTACAACAAAATCAGCCTTTCTATCAAAGTCAACCATTTATCGGAAACAAATTCTTTTTAAATTAAACACTTAAACATTTTGTTTATTAAAGTCAATAAGGGTGGTAATTGTCCTCTCTGTAATGGTAAAATAACTGGGTGGCTTTTGTCCGGATGGCATTTGTCCGGGTGGTTTTTGTCCAGGTGGCTGTTGTCCTTCTCCCCAGCAGTTCTCTTCAGCACAGTGTAGTATGGGTGAATTTTGAGGGATTATAAGAGTTTGATTCAAGACATGTATTTACACATTGTCTCCCGATCACATATACCCAAATAGTGACTCCCAGCACTGATAGTTGATATGCTGTGGATCATATTTATTGTTGTTATTTTCAGTGAGAAGTTCTTGGTTCGGAACACTAACAAGGGTATGCCTGTCAACATGGACAAACTTCACAACTATAGGGGGATCTTCATGGTAAGGGGAGCTTCACAACTACAGACAATCTTTGATGTAAAGGGTCTTAACAAATACAGAGTATCTTCATGGTAAGGGTGGGGTGCTATGGTAAAGAAACATAACAACTACATGGGGATCTTCATGGTAAGGTGAGCTTTGCAACAACATGGGGATCTTCATGGAAATGTGAGCTTCACAACTATAGGGGGATCTTCATGGAAAGGTGAGCTTCACAACAACAACATGGGGATCTTACATGGAAATGTGAGCTTCACAACTGGGGTAGGGGATCTTCATGGTAAGGTGAGCTTCACAACATGGGGATCTTCATGGAAGGTCTTCACAACAACATGGGGATCTTCATGGAAATGTGAGCTTCACAACTATAGGGGATCTTCATGGAAAGGTGAGCTTCATGAGGGGATCTTCATGGAAAGGTGAGCTTCACAAGCAACATGGGGATCTTCATGGAAATATGAAATGTGATTCACAACTATAGGGGATCTTCATGGAAAAAGGTGGGGGGAGCTTCACAACTATAGGGGGATCTTCATGTAAGGTGAGCTTCACAACCATAGGGGATCTTCATGGAAAGGTGAGCTTCACAACTACATGGGGATCTACATGGAAATGTGAGCTTCACAACTATAGGGGGATCTTCATGGTAAGGTGAGCTTCTCAACTACATGGGGATCTTCATGGAAATGTGAGCTTCACAACTATAGGGGACATGGGGGATCTACATGGAAAGGTGAGCTTCACAACTATAGGGGGATCTTCATTCACAACAGGTGGGGATCTTCATGGAAAGGTGAGATTCACAACTATAGGGGATCTTCATGGTAAGGTGAGCTTCTCAACTACATGGGGATCTTCATGGAAATGTGAGCTTCACAACTATAGGGGGATCTTCATGGAAAGGTGAGCTTCACAACTGTAGGGGGATCTTCATGGAAAGGTGCACTTCACAACTATAGGGGGATCTTCATGGAAAGGTGAGCTTCACAACTACCGACAATCTTCCATGTAAAGGGAACTTCAAAGTTTTGTGGGGAATTTCATGGTAAAGGATTTTCACAGCTACAGGAGGATCTTCATGATAAGATGGGTCTTTAAAATTTCCACTGAGAGGGGTATCTTGTCTCCATAACCAGAAGAGCTGACTGAAATAATGATTGGATGGTTTGGCATGTGATGTGTCATTTTGGCAAAGCACAATTCCTTGTCTCTTTGTGTCTGTGCCCAAGAAAACATGTCCCACAGTATGATCGATGTGACATATTGTTCTATGTTTTCTTGTGAAGCATGTCCTGTGGGAAATGTGACTTAATTATACAATATCAGTGTAATGAAACAATGCATCTTTTTTTGTCATCAACAGGACCTGAATGAAGCAGATTTGGAAAGAGATCTCTATTTGGTGGCTCAAATATTCCGATCAGGTGAGAGCTTGACTAAAATAGGTTCAATGAGAAGATTGTAAATATATACAGGCTAGAAGAGATTTGTTATCCTGTGAAAGTGCAATTGTGTTTGGATGTAAATAGAAACATATTCATCACTGATATTAGACTCAAAGTGATCCCCTAAAATTAACAAATAAAACAAAGTCTGTGGTGTATCTTTTCCTGTGGGTGTTGGCAAAATAATGGAAACCTCTTTAAAGCAATATTTGGGGGAGGGGGGGAACAACCTATTTATATTTCTTTTGATACACTGAATTTGTAAGTTATGTTTATTTGATGGTTGTGTTTACATGTTGTAATAAAATGGAATCTTCATCAGTTTTCATGTAAATATAAATATGAAAATATGTCTATACAGCTAATTATGCATACAAATGGCTTTCCTTAATATGAGTGGCTTATGTTGTTTGAAAGTGAAGCTTACCGGTATTCATTTATCTGCCACTTGCATTGTCTTAACTGCCAGTTCTATGATGGAAGCAGTGGAGCTTTTATGTTTCACATGCATTGCTAACTTGTGCTTCATGTGCAATCATATAGCCTTATGTTGTTGACTTGATCACTGAAGAGATATTGTAATACCAGTTAATACATCTCATCATTGTATTGTTAACAGAATAACTAGTGTTGCAGCTTATGTTTATTACCTCCGAGGGCTAAAATATGGGGTTCATAATTTTCATACGATGCCCTAGGGCAAAATATCACTTTGTCATGGTGACGTGACGTCATGAACAATGCTATGATGTCACGTTTCTTCTGTGACGTTGAGTTCAAACTGCGGCGACAGTGGGTAGCCAGCCTATGTTTGAAAGTAGATTTGGGTATATTTTCCTCAATTTGACGACTTCGGTAATAAACAGAATATCATATTTGTGCCCATGTCATACTATGTTTACGACACTTGTGCCTAAATATCGGTATATCCCTCGCTCTCGCCTCGCTCATGAAATACCAACATTTAGGCACTCATGTCGTAAACATAGTATGACATGGGCACTCATATAATATCCTCTATATATGTAGTCACAATGAATTGAATCCAGCTTTATTAAAGTCATGTTTTAAGGAATTTTGCTACATTCTAGGAGAGTGAGTGAGTTGGGTTAAATGCCGTGTTGAACGTTTTTCCAGTTATATAGCGTCATGTCAGCAAACTCTGAGGGTACAGTATTGAGGTTTGCAGGTCTTACATAACCACTGACATGTAACCCAGGGACATGGTATGGTGCTGACAAACCTAAAGACATTACTGAGGTAACACTGGGATTCAAACCCAGTCACTGGCTCCCGATGTGCCCAGTGGGCACAACTCTACAACAAATACCAAAACGTCTGGGCCAACCTGTGCCCCCACATTCGGGCAGAAGTCTTCTAGTCCTGCCATGCCTCTCTGAATATTTGTTACTTGAAATCCTAGTCTCATTGTTCCTTTACAGTATTGAAAGTCTGGAACAGGTGACCAAGCTTTCAAAGTGGCTGAAAATCACAATACACAGTTATGTCCCTTAGGCATGACAGGATTGCTTCCACTCCTCAGGAAGTTACATGGAGTCCTGTATTTGAGGGTCCCTGGGACTCAAACTCTTAATTTTCAGGGGTCTGGACAAGAAAATGGGGGTCCCAGACACTTAAACATTATTATTGTATTGTGTATCATGATCGTCACATTGTTACAGTAATTAAATTGCAAATAATACCATAACCCAGCTAGTAGCAAACTCAGTGATAACTTATTGTCATTTGATTGGAATTTTTACAAAAAGTATTTGGACTTTTTTCTGAGTCTCTGTGGACGCGGTTATAAATTTTGATGCCTCCATTGTCAATTTTTATGCGTATAGGACACAGGAATTCATGTCCTATAAATCCCTGACTCCTGGAACACACCTGATATTGTTTCAAAGCTGAAAAGCAACATACCTGTCTTCCTGGGTTTCACCAAAGTGGTTAATTGTCCAAGACCTGTATTACTTTGAACTTTCCTCCCATAGGAAGCTGCAATGCTGTGACCTGACTGCATCACTGGGGCAGTGGGGTAACCTAGACATGTCTAAGATCCATGTTCGATTCCCTACATGGGTACAATGTGTGAAGCCCATGGTATCCCCTTCCGTGATATTGCTGGAATATTGCTAAGAACGGCATAAAACTAAACTCACGCAAAGCATCATTACTCCCAGCTCACTCACACACACTGAGATTACTGCCTTCTTGTGGATAGTGTCGTCCTTTGCATATGGAAAGCCTGATACAACGGGCACAAGTGTGGAATCAGAGTCTAGCTGCCCTACACATCATATGTTTGTAGTTGCCGAGGTACCCATAACTTATGTATGGTGTTTCCATGTGAGAGGTAAACATCTTGCAGGAAGTGGTAAATAAGGTTAGGAAAGTGAAAACAGTCATTATGTGCTACACTTAATTGGCTTCGTCAGGGGTAGTTTCAGATAAGCAGTTCTTCATTACTGTATATGATTTTCACTGAAATAGTGGGTCATGATGTGAAACTGTTGTGAGCGTAGGACAAGTGTTTCAATTGTGAATAACTGGATGGAATTTGAACATGGACAGTTACAAGTGGAGGATCTTGGTCAGTATTTCAGGCAGAAATAATTCAGAGCAGGAATATATGCATATCTAAACAATGATTAATTGGTGACTTCATATTGTGTCATGTTCTGGAGAAGTTGTTAGAAGTGGTAGGATGTTGCTGTGACACTTTTTGAGGCAAGTTAAGGTTGATTAATAAAACCCATCATTTCAAGTTGAATAATATTTAATTCAATCTCCAGTGGATTTTTCAAATAATTGAAACTGGTGCCTGTTGTTTCTTGAACTCCTACACTTTTCATTGCGGTACATCAACAGAATGGTTGATGCTCATGCTGACTTCCACTGGTTTGTCTGTTCCAGTGTCAAGAACTCACAAGTGTCTGGAATATAACTGTAATAATGCAGACTTTCCAAACAGGAACATTCATTTGCTTGTGTTATAAATTAAAGGGGTGTATAGTAAAGAACTGGTACTAAATAATAGCTAAACATGGCTGTTATAATGCTGACTTGCATACAAAAATATTCACTGGCTGATATGTGCAATCTTTGGTTGTTCAGCTACGTCTATGTTACAAAGCAGTGAGCAGCAAACCCTACCCAAGAGTAAAGGTATTCTGCACCGCATCTTGTGTTTGTTGTAGCCAAAATAACATTGTTGTCGCCTGTTGCCTAGCAACTGTAACATTTTTGTCACCTGTCGTCGTCCAGCAACTGTAACATTGTTGTCACCTGTTGTCTAGCAACTGTGCTGTCACCTGTTGCCTAGCAACTTTGTTGTTTAGCAACTGTGTTGTTGCCTGTTGTTTAACAACTGTAATAGTGATGTCACCTGTTGCCTAGCAACTATGTTCTTGCCTATTGTCTAACAGCTGTATCCGTGATGTCACCTGTTGCCTAGCAACTGTAGCAGTGTTGAAGCTTGTTGCTTAGCAACTGTAGCAGTGTTGTAGCTTGTTGCCTAGCAACCATAATGTTGTTGTAGCCTGTTGTAGAGCATCGTGTTGAACAGCAACTGTAACTATGTCATTGTCAATTCTTCTCAGGTTTGTACACACTATATTCCTCCATCGTTCTGTCATTATAACATGTTTGACATCAACACCAGAGAAACATGCTAACATATTCCACTGGGCATAAAAGAAAAAATAATAAAATAATACCAAAGAATTTAAGTTACAAAGTAAGGATGCTTGTGGGTTCTGAGACCAATGTTTCTTGTGTATACAACGTGTGTGAACCTGTAGGTATCTGATCTATACATTGCTTCTGGGTCCAGTAGTGGAATGGTTCACGCAAAGGTCAAGCACAGGATTGGGTTCACTTGTCTTCAGCTACTTTTACATGACCTCGTTTAATTAGCTGACCGAAAATAGCCACTTCACTACCACACCACAAGTTTGCCCAATCCCTCACAGGTGATGGAGATGCATAGTGTATACCTTATACATGCCCATGAAGAACTGAAGATGTTGTATCACCGCATGTTGCCTTGCAACCTAACAGTGCTTGGAAACGAGATAGAATAGGGTTGAGGCCATTGTGTTGTCTGCATCAAGGATGTTGCTGTTTATCAGAATGGGGTGCATGAGTTTATGGTCAAGATATGCCATCACATTAATCATAATCAGATTATGATCTTTCATTTGTCAAAAGTTGTCATGATCGGTTACCTTCATAAGCATCTCTGAAACGATTTGATGAAAAACATTGCATGTGCTAGATGGAAGATATTACTGTGTGTCTATCTACTAAGACTTAGGTACAATGCTGTGAATACCTGTTTGTGACACATATTGAGGCTTCACTCACAAATTAACATCATGATTGGTCCTCTGTTGGACTCAGGGAAGTCTTTAGGAAACATGCATCATTTTCACATGTCCATTAATCACTGCAGTTAATTTTACAACAATTCATAACAAGAAACACAAAGTTAGTTGCACACTTAATTTGTAAACTGAGTTTAAGTTTACTTTGAACAATGTTTCAGTCATTAGAAAGGTTACTGGATGCATATTTTCAGATATACAACCTGGTCAATTTGGAAGCTGATGACAAGTATCTATAAATAGTGTTGAAAATTCCATTAGGAACAATTAGGACTTCAAACATTAGATGCTCTAGAGATCATTAACTAGATCGTTTCCCAGGTAATTTACCTAATCGTAATAGGTACTGTGTGTGTGGCCATAACCATGTCAAATTATCTTATAATTATTGCTAAAGGGTTCTCATTCATTGCTGATAATGTCAAGCATACAACAGCAGGGTAAATACAATTTTGCCCATTTGTGTTTCAACAACCAGCTTACTTGGTGTGAAATTGACTGTACCAGAAGCACTCGTAAACTCTTGCAATATCAAATAGCATGAGGAATTGGGATTATAGACAGACTGCAGAAAATAGTTATGTCATGTGATTATAGTTGTTATGTATCTGCTTACTTGCCTAACAAATGCTTAGTAAAGGAAAGAACATCTTCATTATCATCATCATCATCATCATCATCATCATCATCATCATCATCAGTGCATTATACCAACACTTGGAGTCGTAACAGTCTCATTTGATTTGACCTATCTGCTTTGAATAATCCTCATTTGACCTCTTCTGAATAGTTTGATTTCATAGACAGAAGTTCATAAGTGGGAGAAGTTAGTTTGTGAGAAAATAATGCTGCCATTATACCTATATGATGTCATGGAATTCTCTGTCCACATTCTTTGGGCCTTTTTTTGGCAATTGATGAGATGGTGTTTTGAAGTATTGTCTTCTTGCATTATATTTCCTGATGCAGTCTCAGTGCCAGCACTGTAAACACACACTTGGACATTCCTTTATTTACTCTCTATATATATTGATTGCATGTGTCAGCAAGCCAATGATGTAGCTTGCTGTCATACAGACATATATACTAACTAGAATTAGACTCTTATCCCTTATATACTTAAAAAACTTAGGGATCATAAGTATTTGGGGGATATTGTTTTGTTGGTTATGAAGGGTGAGCAAAAAATCCATGATTATTTTCCTTACAAAAATCATGTTTCGTTATTTATTTTGTTCAGTATATATGTAACTTTGTATCCTGTCTGCATTATTCTGTGTTGAAAGACAACTAACGCTACTGGCTAGCGAACAGTTATCACCGCGTACCAGTTATCGCCATTACATCAGTATCACACGTGCGCAGTTCCGGTCAATTACAATTCCGGTATTTTTCCCCATGGTATTTGACAACAATAAAGGAAAGCAAAAGAAAATTCTTCACGGCGAGTAACATAAGAAAAAAATTAAAGATAAAGTTATGAACCCTATGAATTGTTTTTAACTTAGTCGTGGGGGGATTGCCCACAACCTATGTAATAGCAAGTTCAAGTACACAAGTCATTGTTCCATTCCCTATCAATCTACTGTAGCAGAAACGCTCAAATAGTCACACAATCAATTATTCGAGGTTACTGTATGATATGAATATGTAGTATTTCACGAATGGCATGAGACATTTGGATGGTGATAACTGTTACAGTTAATTGTGAGAAAACATCTATTTATACTGCAATGATTCCCTTCCGACTGCGTTATATAAAAACATGATTGGTGGCACTGAACGGGCTGGACACATCGGGGAAGTATCATAATTAATTCTGTTTCATTAATTTAACAAACAGAGGAGTAATATTGTAAATACCGCTAAAATATGGCGATATCTGTTTGGTAGCCAGTATAGTTCTCCTACAGGTAGAGGATGGTACTTACATGCTGTGTATTGTAGAACTTGTGTGTCCTGTTTTGACATCGTCTTTCTGCATGTAGACTGCATTGCCTGTGATGATAAGTCATTACTTGATTTTAAGAGAACATCTGTATTTAGAACAATAATGTTATTAATATGTTTTTCTCCTTAGCATGATGTCATATAACTTATCCTTTTCATGTTTAGATGTGTTAAGGGGCACAGATGACCTAGCAGTCTAAGTCGTTGCAGTTTGCAACCTGGTATCCTCAGTGTGGCCCAGTTGTCTAAGTTGCTCCAGGTCGATGTGACCCGTGAAGGTCCGGGTTAGAATATTGATCTTCAGTAACCGATGCTTGTTGTAAGAGGCGACTAACGGTATTGGGTGGTCAGGCTCGCTGACTTGGTTGACACATGTCATCGGTCCCAATTGCGCAGATCGATGCTCATGTTGTTGAACACTGGATTATCTGGTCCAGACTCGATTATTTACAGACCGCCACCATATAGCTGGAATATTGCTGAGTGCGGCGTAAAACTAAACTCACTCACTCACTAGGTCGATGTACAGAGTTGTATCCCTTGGGGGAAATAGCAGTCAGTATTGAGTGTTCAAATCCTTGTTTGCCAAATAATTTTGGTTTGTCTGCATCTTACCTGTGGTTATGACTCACCAAATGGGTAAATGTCTTAAGACCTGGAACACTGGAGGCATCTTACCCAGATTACCCAGATGTCTTCTTATTGGCTGAAAAAACTGGAGTCCTCAGGGTAGACTGAGCGGTTCTGTTCACTCAGGTTTCATCTGATTTGAATTCTTGTGGAGAAGGGCGTCGGGGTAGCCTATTGGGTAAATCATTCTCTTGTCATAGTGAAGACTCAGGTTCAATAGCCCACATGGTGGCAATGTGTGAAGCTCATTTCTGGTGTCCCCCCGGCTTGATGTTGCTAAAATATTGCCAAAAGTGGCATAAAACCTTTCTCAGTCACTCTGGAGAGTTGGTCAGACCTTCACATAGGTGTTGTAATGGAGTAAGTGATGTTAGTGTGCATGTAGAGATTACTGTTCCTGGGAGATTGTTGCTGATTGGTTGTTTATTGTACAGGTCGGATGCTCCAGGAATCATCCAGCAAGAAGATCCCCAAGTTCCGTTACCGCCGACCGTGGGGAACCGCAGGTGAGATATCACGTACATTCTGTTGTCTGATTTGTATGCTGTCTCTCTTGCTGTGGGGACGTGGATTGCATTGTCAACTCGCACACTGCAGTTATATAAGGAGTTGTTATCCCCCGCCGCGCGTTTAGCGCAAAGCGGGGGATATAGTATTAGGCTCCGTCCATCCGTACGTATGTACGAATTGGAATATCTTAAGAACCGTTCACTAGATTCTTTTCATATTTGGTACCTAGTTTCATCACAGTTTAGAAAGGTCCAACTCAGATTTGGTGACCTTGACCTTCATTTCAAGGTCACAAGGGGACTTTAACATTTTACCTGCATGTTAAGCTATATCAAGAACCATTCACTGGATTTTCTTCATATTCAATACAAAGCTTTATCTAGGGAAAGCTCAGGGCCCAGACGACATAAGTTTTAGGGTCACGACGACACTTTGAAGATTTCAGCATGTTAACCTGAATTGTCAGCAAGATATTTTAAGAACGGTTCACTTGATTTTCTTCATAGACTTTTAAGACTTCTCTTGAATGTTTTTCAATAAGCAATTTCTTTAGTACTAGTTTTGCATATTTCATACACTATGACGTTCATGTCAAGGTCAAAGTCAGTCTTGAAAATATGTGTGTGTTGAACAACTAAAGAGCAAGATATCAAGAGAGGTTGATTAGTCATGTTTTTGTTGACATTTAACTTCATCTTAAACTTTCATTACTTTATAAGTTTGATTCGATAATTTGCGGTGGGGGATCATGTCACCTTAGTGACAATGCTTGTTATACTACTCACTTCTGGATCCTCACTGAATGAAGAAATTTTGTGTTATTGTTTATCTTAATGTTGAAAAAATTAATTGTTGTCAAGCAGTTTTGAACTTTGACCACTAATTCTGAACAATGTAAGCAATGTCAATTTAAAATGTTTTTAGTTTTTCAAAGCCAGTTCTATATTGTTTGAATCTTCTAAATGTAAATATTTTCTGTATATAAATTAAACTTATGAAACGTTCATATTTTTGACAGTGTTATTCCTCAAGGATGTCTTTGCATTGAAACGTGAAGAGGAGCTTGACTTTCACATGAAGGTCCAGAGGTAAGTTGCACTGAAGAACCAGGTGGTTGCATATGTTAGCGTCCATGTTACTTTCCAGTATAATGTCATTATTCACTTCTGGTAATGAAGATGCACGTTAAACTCACCTTCAGAAAACACTGCTTGTACTAAGGGTTGTTGAGTTGGTTTGTTCCTGTCATTGTAAGTCATTTGTGCTGATTGATGGTCATGATGTCAGTCACTGGTTTGTCTGGTCCGGACTCAATTACTGCCATCATTAAATGTGAATATTGCTGAGCATGGTGTTAATCAGTTACTAGTGTTCTATGCTATTTTTCCTTATCCTGGCTCATGCATATTCGTTATCTCCTTCCTCTATGTGATTGGTAGTGGAACACTTGAATCCCTTGTAGTTCCCTCTGAAGAGGACGTAAAAGTTCACTCACCCACGAGTTGCCTCCCTTTTCCCACGCAAACAGTCATGTGACTTGCCATGCTTGTCACTCTCTCCTTCACTGCCCAAGCGGAAGGTTGGGCGAGCACTGGAGTCCGCTATACGGCACCATTTCCTTTATATTTAGATCCTTTTATCCAGATTAAGCTGTGTATGGTTTCTGGTTATATTAAACTTTAATTGTATGTCAAAATGTTGAAAAAATTATTCATATTTTGTCACTCGTTCTCATCATAATGTAGTTTGTTTACATTTGATGAAATCTTGCAGTTATACAGGTTATCAGCGGCTGATCCTCACCCCCAATTCTCGTCATGCATTAACCCATTCAACACCGTAGGCCGGAAAACCGGCTAAGACGTCACCAGTCCCTAGACACCGTAGGCCGGTAAACCGGCCAGGCAGTAGTCGCATCAAACTTATATATAATTTTAGGAACCTAACTAACATATGATTCTTTTATCAAATCTATCACTTTCTCAGTGTCTGAAAACACTTAATAAATTTCAAATGACCATATATTATCGACAGGATTAGAATTCTAAACTATTTTTGCAATGTTATTGAAAAAAACAATTCTTGGACACATGCTTTAGCAGCGGGTCCACAATAACATTGTCAAAGAGCAAAGTAACGATGGTTCGAGGAAATCATTAAATATATTGAATAAACTAATTGCTAAAATCAACAACAGCATTCATAAAAGATGTCAAACGTACATATAAAATTACTATTTCCATCTTTTTGTGCGATCATGTAATGTAAGTCAAGTCACTGACAAGTGACATCTCGGCTCTCACCGCCTCAATCTTCACGCTCGGACACGATGTTTAATGCGAAAATATATGCATGAAGCATTTTTGTCACAGGTCATAACCTAGCACGATACGTCCAATAAGTTCCATAATTTACGTATAGGTAGCAATTTCTTGCTTAATATGTTTAAAATAGCATTATTTTACCCAAAACTTTCGTCTAAATCTACAAGTTTTCGTTTACGAAGATGGTATCCATTGCCGTAATATGATTGGCTGCCTTAGGTCACGTGTCTGATTTTGACCCTCTGGCGAAAAAGCGTCATTAGAAACCAATCTATATCCAATAAAATCGCTTCTTACAACTGTGAAAATACTCTCAGCAAGGGTTCAGTGATGTTGTTGATGTTCAGAGCTTTCAAACGATACCCAACATCAAACGATTCGCCTCCCATGTTATTCATACGAAGCTTCGAAAACGGAGGTATTTTCCGTTGTTGTGTCGTGTTACCGACTGGAAAGCCACTGATATCGAGAAATAGGCGACCATACATATTAATTAAGAAATCTTTTTATGATAATATTCTGATTACGTAAAAATTACAATATAAACGAAAAAAGCACGGGCATGTTATGACATGTCACAATGGAAAAAAATCACCATAGTTTTTACTTCTTTCTCGGTTTATCTGGACATTATAAATGTAAGCTTGCATTTTCATTACAAAAATAAATCTATTTAAGTTGTAGTTGTATTATTTGAATAACATTATAAAAATAAACGTCATATTTATCAACAGTGGGATTAGATCTTTTAAATGGTGTATGAGATGTAGTAGCAATAAAGTTTTACAAGCTTATAATTTCCTTGATAAACATAGGCTTCATTTGTGACCTTAGAGTCTCTGGGAACTCGGTGTCATGGCAGTAAATGACTCTGGTTGACTGGTGTTGAAAGAGTTAATCCATGTTCTTCTAGCTTGCGTTGCAGATATTGTATTGATTTACCAGATTGGCAATTTAATCATTGTTTGTCTTACGTTCATAAACGTGCGATGGACCGGGTAAGGAAATCATCTCAAGTCACTGCTGATATATCCGCAGATAATGCCAGTAACCATATGTTGTTAACTGCAGCTGTAAAACATAGACAACAACAGCGTAGCATCATCGCAGTTGCAAGTAGACGCTCTTGACGCCTCAGCGTTCTTGAACGCTTCATCTACACCGCATCAGTTCTGACCTACATCGCAGAACTTCGACCCAGGTGAGTTCATGAGACAGTTTACAACGCAAATGATGGCATTGATGGAGCAGAGATTTGTCGAAGAGAGAGCTGCATGGCAGAACCCTACGATGTCAGACAACGTTCGGTGAACCTCTGCCTTGAGAGAACCTGTTCCTGAGACACCTACAGCCTCATCCCACAAGAGTACGGCTGAAAACAATGTCAGCGAACATTCACCTTCTGCGGACCTAGTCATCTTGGAGGAAGAAGGTTCAGCAAACGTCCCTGAATCTACAAGAGGTTCGGTGAACCCTCCTCGTTTGAGAATGTCAGACGGAGGAAGATGCCCCTCGAGATCCAGTTGTTCTACATCAGTATCCTGCAGCTCCCATACACACAGATCAGCGTCGCCACGTTCGTACAAACGTTCGCGGAAGGAAGGTTCATCAAACGTACGTTCACAGAAGGAAGGTTCACGGAGGGAAGGTTCGGCGGACCCGGAACTATCTGAAGAAGAGGGCCACTTCATCTTCTCGGAAGCAGAGGTCACATCGTGGATTGCTAACGGCCTGGACTTGGACTCCCCCTCCAAGGAATCTGATGCAGCATTCACATACAAGATGTGGAAGGATGACTTCGACACCCTCATGATTCCACCAATTGAACCGATCTCCAAGGTGTCTGCTAACCTCCATGCAGCGTTTGGAAAAGCAACCCGACACCAGAATCAACGTCTACCTACATTTAATGCTAGGAGATTCCCTCTGCATCATATGGACCCTTTTTTGAGAGCACCAGCTTGGATGATATCACAAAGTTGATTAACGACTCCCAGAACTAGTCTTACAAAGTGGAAGACAAGAAAATTGCTCAACTTCGACACCAACGACTAGAAGAACATTCTTCGGCCTGGTGAGATCCAGAGCGATCAACGAGACGTTGATATCCAGATTCCAGAAGCCCAAGATGGAGGAAGATAGAAGGATTCTATCTGCACTATTACCTCTGAAAAAGGACCAACATTTCATGTCGGATCACTTGGCCGCGCCTACTATCCTCGGCGGAGAGATTGATGAAGTTGCCAGGGAAGTCACTCATGATTCCAGAGAAGTCATGATGATCAAGTCTATTGACATGTTGGCCAATGTCATTCGTCGGCCAACGTCGCTGTATCGTCGCAGAGATACAGCAACAAGTCTAAGTTCTCCGGAATACAGAAAGCGAAGGCGAAGAAATACTCCAGCTCCAGAGGCAGGAAGAGCTCCTTTCATCTACGTCTCACAAGTACTGCGAGAAGGCTACAGAGTGCAGCTGAAGGCCACACCACCTCTGACCCTCGACCCGGTAGTCTTCAGCTACGCAGACGACCAGGCAGTAAAGTTAGAAGAAGCCATCAACTTGCCATTGGCCAAGAACACCGTAGAAGTGATAAATTCAACCAAGGCTATCTACTCAAGCCAGAGAGATTCAAGATGATCCACCTGCCTCAACTCAGACAACTCGTCTGTCCAGCAGATTACTTGGCCAGCATAGACCTACAGGATGCATATCTACACATCCCGATTCATCCGGAATCAAGAAAGCACCTAAGATTCCTGTTCAGAGGTCGACACTACCAATGGAGCGTCCTACCGTTTGGAATATTGTCGGCTCCGTAGTTATTCACACAAGTGACCACACTCATCGTCACCTATCTACATTGTCGAGGTCTAAGCAGTGCCTTCTATCTGGACGACGGGATACTAGATCATCAAGAAGCCAATCAACTAAGACAGCAGCTAGACTTCACCATCTGCTCACACAACTGGGATGTCTAGTAAACTTGATGAAGTCAGAGTTGGAACCAGTTCCTGGGAATAAGGTTCATCACAACACAGAATCGTATTGTGGTCCAAGAAGATCGTTGGGTCAAGATTCAAGCCATGATTCCAGAAGCAGTCATCTCTCCATTACCACTAGGAACATTGCAATGTCTACTCGGTCTGCTCACCTCAGCGCAGAACCTGACTCGCACAGGAAGACTACAATTACGTCCGCTTCACCGATTCCTGGCAGGACACCTGGACAGCACGGACCTGATCTCCATACCAGACAGTCTCAAGATATACCTGTTATGGAGGACTCACAAATTGAATGTCTGCGGAGGGATCTATTTACAAGAGCCGGTCTGCGACACACACCTTTACGTAGATGCCTCACTACAAGGATGGGGAGCGCATCTCGACAATGAAGTGGCATCAGGGAAGTGGTCGAAACAAGAACAACATCTTCACATCAAACAACTGGGGATGAAAGCTGTGATCAACGCCATTCAACACTGGTCGAGCCCACTGGTCAACCACATGCTGACGGTTCACACAGACAACTCAACAGTGGCATTCTACATAAACTGGCAGGGATCAACGGGATCACCAAACCTGCTCCAGCTCACATTCCAGTTGTTCAACATCGTAGACGAATTAAACATCTGGCTAAAGGCATGTCACATTCCGGGAGCCAAGAATGTGCTAGCAGACGCTCTATCTCGCCCACTTCATCTGTCACCCACGGAATGGATGCTCCACCCAGAAGCGTTCCGGCTCATCATCAGGGAAATAGGATCTCCCTCCATGGACCTGTTCGCCACAAGGTTCAATAAACAACTACAGACATTCGTCTCACCGGTACCAGATCCCCAAGCCTGGACAACAGGTGCACTGAGCATGTCATGGGAAGGACTAAACGCATATGTGTTTCCACCTCCAGTTCTACTATCGCAAGTACTGCTGAAGATCAAGCAGACCCGAGTGCTACAACTGACTTTGGTCGCGTCCTACTGGCCAGCGAGAGTCTGGTTTCCAGTCATACATCCACACACCAAGCAAGCACACGGAAACCTGCTAACATTCCAACTACACGTATGGACCATATCAAGACTTGCTTGAAGAAAAGAGGGTACTCTACCAGAGCAGCAAAAGCAGTAACTCTAGCTCTACGCAGATCAACTTGTACGACGACAAGTGGCAGAGATTTGAACAGTATGCAGTGCGGAAAGGCTTCACAGCAATGAAAGCAACTCAAGTGGCGGAATATCTATGTCACCTTAGATATATGAGGCGATTGAAAGGTTCGATGCTATCTACATACCTGGCAGCTATCAGTACAGTCATCACCATGAAGACAGGCATCAAACTGACAAAAGTGCCAGAACTACTTGCTCTACTACGCTCCTTCAAGCTGGAGGACCAGCAGAAGAAATTCAGAGCACCAGCCTGGGATCTGAACATAGTTCTACGAAATCAGTTACCTGGCCAGCCGGACAGACAGTTCCACCTCCCAGCACTATCTACGATCCTCGGACCAGAGGACACCCAGGACTCATCCTTGTGTTCTGTCAGAGCCCTGTAATATATCTTCAAAAGAGTTAAACAAGGAGAAGAAAATTCAAGAGCCTATTCATCCCCTTTTCACCAGAGACGTCTACAGAAGTCTCAAGAACGACAATATCATTTTGGATGAGAGCCGTTATACTGAGGGCCTACAAAGCAGCAGGACTAGAACCTCCAAGAGCTTCCAACCCACACGAAGTCAGAGCACTGGCGTCAACACTAGCTCTGCACGGAAACTGCTTGATATCATCAATCATGGAGGGCTGCTTTTGGAAGTCAGACGCGGTGTTTGCCAACCACTACCTCAGAGACATTGCCACTGAAGACGTCTCCAGCATTCACCAGTTTGGGCCACTTGTTGTAGCACAACAACTAACGGTTCCACAAAGGCGCAGAATTGGAAATCTCACCCTTTATCACGTTGACTTGTTGATAACCCTTACTCTGGAGAGTTGTGGTTGAAAGTCCATGCGCACCGTCTAGGCTAGACTAGCATGAGTGATTAAGACTCTGTACGGGTAACGATCTTACCTGTACATTAAGGGGTCGCAACTCATTATGGTAACGATCTTATCATAATCTCTGGGTTGTTTATAGATAACTAGTAAGAAGAAGATACTAGTATATCTAAAAACCAGGTGAATCTAAGAGATTCTCTTGTCTTAGAGAAGTCCCCCAGCGGAAGTTGGAAGAATAGGATCTAGGAAGTGCCGATTACGCAGTTCCCAATGGGGGGATACAGGACGTATCTAAGGACAACTGAGGAATCCACGAAGTGGCTTGACCCACCACCAATTCCGCTGGATTCTGGAAGCATATAAGCATGAGTTAGGATAAGGAAAAATATGTAATTTTTAAAGTAAATTGATATTTTATACTTATCCTGACTCATGGTGTCAAGCCCTCCCAACCTCCACGCTGAAGACACTTCGGGTTCCCAGGAAACCCAGGTGCTAGGGCTTATTCAGGAGAGAGTGACAAGCATGGCAGGTCACATGACTGTTTCCGCGGGGAAAGGGAAGCAACCCGTGGGTGAGTGAACTTTTACGTCCTCTTCAGGGAACTACAAGGGATTCACATGTTCCACTATCATTTGCATAGAAGAAGGAGATAAGCATATAAGCCTGAGTCAGGATAAGTATAAAATATCAATTTTATCCAGAAAATTACATTTTTACTTTAAAAATTACATATTTGTTTACTAAAGCTGTGATGAGAGTAAGATGGTGATGTTTGTATATTACAGCCATGTTGAAAGTAAGACACTGATAATTGTCACTTTTCGCAGAGATAAAGACAGTGATGTTTGTTTATTACAGTTGTGTGGAGAGTGAGTCTTCCTTTCCAAACCTCCACGAGACATTGATCAAGAAACAGAGCATGATAATTGGAAAAGGTTTCACCGCCACTGAGAAAGACAAGCAATCAATAGGTACCCCATTGTGTCACGTTTCAATCTCATGATGATCGTCCTTCTCCACTATGGTCTTTCTGGGGTTTCTCAAACACTAACTTCAGGAATGATGCTGATTTTGTGACAGGAATTTAAACTGATTGTTGGGTCATATTTCCACCAGTTATGCACTGATTATTGTGTATAAGTATATTCCTAGTAAATAGACACTGGCTGTTGTATACAGGTATATTTTTGACCAGTTACCGACTGGCAATTGCGTACCTGTTAAATCCTACAAACTAGACACACCCTGTTTTGTCCAGGTATTGCTGTCTCTCTGAAGTTGTTCCATGGAGACCTGACCACCGTCAAGCCGGAACAACCCATGATGTTCAGCAAGGGTGTCACAGTGGTACAGAAAATTGGCTTCTCAGACTCCATAAACCCAGGTGAGTTTTCTGACTCTCAGACAGCTAACAAAGGTCTCTCCAAAACTGTTTTGAATGTGTTTGTGTGCATGGGTGTGTGCAATATCTGTGTGTCTGTGTGGGAATGTTAGTCAGTCATTCATGGAATGAATCTAATTCTCCTTCCGCAGGTGAAGTACGGAATGACCTTTACCTGACCCTGGTCAACAGCGAGTTTGATCGAGGCAGTAAGAAAGCAGCCAAGAATGTGGAGGTCACGGTTACAGTGTATGACAGCAATGGTGACCTGATACCGGTGAGAGTTACTTTGGTCAGCTTTGCTCCAACAATCTTATGGAGAGATATGCCAAGACAAAAATGTGAAGATGTCTTGCATATACTGGCACTCTCTTCTTGGCCATTATAGAACCTTTTCCCTCTGTGTTATGTGCAGTTCAATTAATTTTGTTGTAGATATTGCTCAAACTAATTACTGGAAAAATTCCAGTGAAATAATGCCAACAGTACTCTCTCTCCTAGACAAGTTTTCATGTAGGGATTCTAGGGCATTTAAGGTACCTATGCAGTTTGTACCCACTAGCCGGGAAAGGTAATCAGGTTGTCAGAATAACTGCTTTATGTTTATTTTAGTTTTATATGCAGAGTAATAATTTTATAAAATGTAAAGTCTGGATAACTCTTGTATCTTCTACTTTGTCTCTAGGAGAGTGGAATAGGTACTTCTCTACTGACAGCTAATACCATGTTTTTGTCTGTCAGGAGTGCATAACAGGTGGATGTGGGGAAGATGCTGTCACCAAATACTTCTCCTCCATCTTCTACCACAACAACAACCCCAAGTGGAACGATACTATACGTGTAAGTATCACTTCAGGTGGGTAGGGCAGAGCTGGTCTAGTGACTGTCATCCCAGTGATCAGCACACGGATGTAGAACGTACAGGCCAGCTGCATCCTCAAAAGCCATGTAGTCTTTCAACACTCAGCCGGGGAGGCATTTTCCGAAAGAATTGAAGTCTATATCACCCATAGAAAAGGGTGCTAATCAGCTGATGTTTGGGTGCCATTAGCGCCGAATGATACCTTGACACACATGGATACATAACAATCCGGGGTAGATTGTTCTTCAGCAGCCTTTGGTTGTCAAAAGAAGCGACTAACGGGATCGGGTGGTCAGACTCGCTGACTTGGTTGACACATGTCATTGTTTTGCAATTGCGTTGATTGATTTTTATGCTGTTGATCACTGGATTGTCTGGTCCAGACTCGATTATTTACAGACCGCCGCCATATAGCTGGAATATTGCTCACTCACTCACTCACTCACTCAATAGATATAACTCACACTTGTAGTGTAATGATACATAAATACAACGGGCTGATTGTGTAATAAAAAATAATCTGAACTGTTGTCTGTATAATGACAACTGCCTAATATGTATTCCCCAGCACACCTTGCTTGTCATAAGAGCTGACAAAAATTAGGTGTACCATTGAAGCTGGATATCTGTATTTTTATACTCCAGACAGCCAGTGCTTATTACTGTACAAAAAACTGAAAAGCTGAGTGAATGAGTTTGCTTGAACAAATAGATCGAAAGACCATCAGGTGAGATTCTGTACATCTCTCTGAATGAGCAACAGCTGAAAAAATCTGTACAGTAGAGATGATGACTACTACTAGTGATCACTGACAGTCTTGTTTTTCCTGTTTCAGCTGTCCATTCCAATAGACAAATTCCAGTGTGCTCATATACGATTTGAATTTTGCCATTGCTCCAGTAAGTACCGGTAATCTGAGATCAGATTGAAAAATAATCAAATTTAAAGCAAACTGTTTCTATTACCACTTCCACGTGCAGTTGAAACCATGGTAATGGGGTCTTATATTTGAAATGTTATCAAATACTGTACTTCAAGACAAGCAAATTGCAAATATTAGATACTGGGGTGGGTAAGGATTCTGATGGGATCGTAAATAAATTATCTATAACAATATTTGATTCCATGGAGATCTGGTTAAAGAGTTTCATTTTCTAGATATAGCTTGGTATTTTGAATTTTCAAAATTGTCATTTTTAGGAGTATATTTGATGCAGCCAGGGTAATTTATGGCCAGTGTTTCATGATTTCTTGCAGCTAGGGACAAGACTGAAAAGCAGCTGTATGGTTTCGCCTTTCTTCCTCTCAATCCTTATGACTCTGCCACTCAAGCAGATGGCACACACGCCCTGTGTATATATAAGGTAGGAACACACACACATTGTATATAGAAGTTCAGGAACTCGTGAAGATCCGGGTAAAACTTGGTCTTTAGCAGCCCATGCTTGTCATAAGAGGCGACTAATAGGATGAGCAACCTTTGTTATGTTTGGGATTACACTTTCTTAGTAAAGTACAAATTCTAGTACTTTTGGGGGTTGAGTCCCATCCGGGATTCGAACCCACACCATCAGAGTCAGGCACCAAATCGCCAGCACACAAAGTCAGCCGCTTAACACGCTCAGCCACCGCAACTTCCACAAAAATGGAAGTCGGACAACTGGTAGTCCAGATTGCGGACTTTGTGTATCCCTCTGATAAGTGTAAATTGGCACGGCTCCCACGTCCGAAAGCTATGATTACACAATGCCTTTTAGAAAGTGGTCTATAGGATTAGGTAGTCAGGCTTGCTGACTTGGTTGACACTCATGCTCATGATGTGGACCTCTCGATTGTCTGGTCCAGACTATTATTCACAGGCCGCTGCCATATAGCTGGACTGCGACATTAAACAACAAACAAACAGACCAACAAAACAAACCGAAGTTTTGAATTCACATTCTGTGTACATATATACAAAATATCTTAAGGCACATGTGAACACACACATTATTGTAAATGCTGTTCTGTTAATTCATTCCTTTTTCCATCTATGTACATCCAGTGTGACACTGCAAGCAAAATCAAGAACTATTTGAAATTCCCATCATTCCAAGATGACTTTAGTGACCCGAAAGTAACGGCCAATTTGCCCAACCAGCTTCCGTATAGTCGCAGCAGCAAGGAGTACCTCACTGTGACAACATTCCTCTGTTCAACCAAGTTCACCCAGCAAGGTAAGGAGGCTTACAGTCTCATACAGGTAGATGTTGTCTTGTTCCAAGATCTCAATACAGATGTGTGAAGGGCATTGTTTGTGAATCTCCTTACGTTAATTATGGCCAGTGTTTTATGATTTCCGTGGAGGATTAAAGTCTCATACACCCAGTGTTTGCCCTTAACCCTGAAAAGTTGCAGGACCCTGAACCACAGAAACTTGTGGGTCCTGATCAGAATGTGTAGGCCATATATTTTAATATGGAAATAATACTCTTATATATTGGGGATGAAAAAGCTGTCGGCCATAAGGACCTGCAGAAAACAAAGCTGTGGGTCCAAGTGGTTTTCACTTGGTTTCTGGCCTAAGGACCAACGTTAATTTCGACCACTGCATACAACCAAGGTGGTAGCCAGGCTGGTCTGTTCCTACAAAGTAAGATGAGTTACTGTAGTGGTCTGATTCTGTATTGAGCTGTCCACAGACAAGTTGGTAGCTTAACAAAATCACAAAGTCACCAGCTGGTCAACTAATTCATCTGTACAAAGTCACCTGCTGGTCCTCTAAGTCATCTTCACAAAGTCATCAGCTGGTCCACTAAGTCATCTTTATAAAGCCCACTAAGTCATCTTTACAAAGTCACCATCTGGTCCTCTAAGTCATCTTCACCAAGTCATCAGCTGGTCCACTAAGTCATCTTTACAAAGCCTACTAAGTCATCTTTACAAAGCCAGCCACTAAGGTCCACTAAGTCATCTTTACAAAGTCACCAGCTGGTCCACTAAGTCATCTTCACCAAGTCATCAGCTGGTCCACTAAGTCATCTTTATAAAGTCAACAAGTCATCTTTACAAAGTCACCAGCCGGTCCACTAAGTCATCTTTACAAAGTCACCAGCCATTTACCTAAGTCATCTTCACCAAGTCATCAGCTGGTCCACTAAGTCATCTTTACAAAGCCCACTAAGTCATCTTTACAAAGTCACCATCTGGTCCTCTAAGTCATCTTCACCAAGTCATCAGCTGGTCCACTAAGTCATCTTTACAAAGCCTACTAAGTCATCTTTACAATGTCAACAGCTGGTCCACTAAGTCATCTTTACAAAGTCACCAGCCAGTCCACTAAGTCATCTTCACCAAGTCATCAGCTGGTCCACTAAGTCATCTTTACAAAGTCAATAGCCGGTCCACTAAGTCAGCTGGTCCACTAAGTCATCTTTACAAAGTCACCAGCTGGTCCACTAAGTCATGTTTCATGTCAACAGCTGGTCCACTAAGTCATCTTTACAAAGTCACCAGCTGGTCCACTAAGTCATCTTCACAAAGTCATCAGCTGGTCCACTAAGTCATCTTTACAAAGTCATCTTTACAAAGTCACCAGCTGGTCTACTAAGTCATCTTCACAAAGTCACCAGCTGGTCCACTAAGTCATCTTTACAAAGTCATCAGCTGGTCCACTAAGTCATCTTCACAAAGTCATCAGCTGGTCCACTAAGTCATCTTTACAAAGCCACTAAGTCATCTTTACAAAGTCACCCTCTGGTCCACTAAGTCATCTTCACAAAGTCACCAGCTGGTCCACTAAGTCATCTTCACAAAGTCACCAGCTGGTCCACTAAGTCATCTTCACAAAGTCACCAGCTGGTCCACTACCTTAAAATGAGCCTCTGATGCACTATAACACATTCATGACATATTATTTGTGTTGTACATTAATATTGATCTGATGTTTCAGCGGACCTTGTCGGCGTATTCCAGTCCAGTAGTAGACAAGAGTGCATTGAGCAGAGTCTGCGCAATCTTATTAACCTCCGTGGCCAGGAGGTTGTCAGGGTAGGTAACTCCTTACATCACCTATTGGATTAACACAGTTGAGATATAGACGTGCAACACACTAAGGTCTTTGTGATGCTCATTCACAAATATGGCTTGAAAAAAAGCCAATATTTCTCAAAACTATACTATGACTAAATTATTAATCTTTAAACTTATCCTATCTCACGGTATGCACTTCTCTCTCTTGATTCGACACTGAGTCGAACGATGTAAACTTTTTTCCCTTGGCCTCTCTTGTCCATCCGCCCAAGCACTCCATGCTACCCTCATTATAAGACAGCTTCCTAGCTAAACTCACTCACTCAATTAACATTTCTATTCCTGATGAAGAATGAACCTCTGAAGAGAACAAACCCTTCTCTTCAGAAGTGACCTGTCATTATAATCCTCTGTAATAAGCAGATTCAGCATGATGTTTCTTCTGCTGTACTGACAACCGCTACAAACATCAGACCATTTTTTCACATTTACCCTATGACTAGTATTCCTACATCTAATATGCCACTGTACTTCCAGTACTTGCAGGACATCCTGGACTCCTTGTTCTACATGGTCGGAAACTCCAGCAGTGAAGGGGAGCGCTTCAAACACTCCGCAGAAGTCTTTCATGCCTTAGTAAGTAGGGCTTTATTCCACCGATCTGGTTGTTAAGACATCCTAACTTCTCTTCTTCAATATAAAGATATTAAGGTGCTGAGATGGCTTTTGGGTGTTCTATGTTTAATTGGATGTAAAATATAGAAAGGACGGTTTTGAGTAGCTGCCATGTCCTGACAAAGGATGAAACGTATGTTATATTTGGGATATATAAAGGATGTTTAAAAAGGTACTTGTTGTTACTGTGGGTCACTATAATCCAACATAACTCAGGACTAGAACTAGCAGACACAGCGAGACAACTGCACTGAAACACACACACAAATGAACAAACATGAACACACACACAGGCATGCACACACAGACTCGCTCACTCACAGACACTGAGTCACTATATTTGTGCAATGATTTGAAACACGACATAGTTCTACAGTATCATTTGTGTCTATACTACCATTCCTGTATTGATCATCAGATAAATAGGTCCCTCCTATCCCAACTAATATGTTGTCTGAGTCAGGGGACCTTCACCAGCTTCAGGATGTTACCCTTGTTTCCAGGTCCATATATTCAACCTGCTGCAGGACAGCAAGTTTGAGAAGTTTCTTTGTGTGCTAGAAGCCTATCTGGAGGAGAACTTTTCCTACCCCCTTGTGTATCGGTGAGTATGCCTGCTGGGTCTCGTGGCTGTTGAAGAGTGTAACTTGGTACAGCTATCAGTGAGTGAGGCTGTCGTGAGTGCTTATCAGTGAGTATTGGTGTGTGTAGCTGTCGGTTGGAAGTACCGTATATTACCGTAGATAAGCTGACCCCATAGATAAGCCGACCCCCAAACTTGACCCTTAAAATCAGTGTCAAAATTGTATGTTTCGTACATAAGCCGACCCCCCGTGATGGGGTCCTAATCGCGGCAAACACAGACAACAGACAACTGGCAGTTACCAATAATTATAACTTTAGTCCACATTATTCAAAGAATTCACAATCATATTGCATCTACTCGCGCATCGAAATGAAGTGTAGTTGACAGAAAATGGATAATATATATTTTTCCTTATCCTGACTCATGCTTAATGCTTGTCTCCTTCCTCTTGCGAACGTTAGTGGAACACTTGTATCTCCTATTGAAGCTCCCTTCAATAAAGAACAGACGTAAAATCACTCCTCCCAAGAGTTATCTCTCCAGCTGTTTAGGCGGGAAACTGTGGCGCCACCGTCCCCACATGCTTCACTCTCTCCTTCTTCGCCCTGTGGGCAGGTTGTGAGAGCGCCTGTGTCTCCTATACGGCACTATATCCTTTAATTACTTAGTTATTCTCCTCTATTCTACTTTTATAGAGGTTTAGTTAGTATTCTTCAACAATATGGTTTGATATTTAATCAGTATTTAGCACTGTTTATTCACGGAATTGTCCGTGTTTGTTCAGTTGTTTACATTTCATGAAAACTGATTTTCGTTGTAGGTTTAGGTTGCTGCTGCAAACCCGCATTGACTGTGCCCTAGCTGCACAACAACATGTACTTCCAGCTATAGCTGTAATCTTTATCAGCATTTAATAGAAATTCAATTTAATCAGGGAGACTATATAAGAGGGAGTGGTCACTCCTCGGAAAGCCCCTTTTGCAAGTAATGACCAGTGATAGTTTATTTAAGATTGAAAAAGTTTTTTTTGTTAGGATTGTATTTGAGGTGTGTGAAAATATATGACATATCTGTCAATCTGCCATTGAAATAGTGTCAGTATTAGTACAGTACAGGAGTTGTTTGAGTGCTTTTCTAGTTATTGTTCTAAAACATCTTTCACATACACCTTTTATTTTTATGAGGGGAATATACCATCAGGTGAAAGGTGTTTGCAAGTAATAGTGATAGTTTTATAATTTAATTTTTTTGTTAGGGTGTATTTGAGGGTGTGTGAAAAATATGACATATCGCCGATCTGCCATTGAAATACTACAAAGTTGTTTGAGTGTTTCTAGTTATTGTTCTAAAACATCTTTCACATACACCTTTCATTTTTATGAGGGGAATATACCATCAGGTGAAAGGTGTTTGCAAGTAATAGTGATAGTTTTATAATTTAATTTTTTTTGTTAGGGTGTATTTGAGGTGTGTGAAAAATATGACATATCGCCGATCTGCCATTGAAATACTACAGGGCGTTGTTTGAGTGTTTCTAGTTATTGTTCTAAAACATCTTTCACATACACCTTTCATTTTTATGAGGGGAATATACCATCAGGTGAAAGGTGTTTGCAAGTAATAGTGATAGTTTTATAATTTAAATTTTTTTTGTTAGGGTGTATTTGAGGTGTGTGAAAAATATGACATATCGCCGATCTGTTCTGATACGCCATTGATGCTTGTGATGCTTGAGTGTTATAGTTCTAAAACTGCTTTCTTTCTTGTTGATCTTAGTATTTGACAAAACTGGAAAGGTGTTTACAACGCTTTGTGATAGTTCTAAGCTTTCTGTTTTTGAGGGGTCTGTGACAGTGTCAGTTAACATTCTGTCAATGCCCATGCCATTCCACACATGCAATAAGATATCTGAATTAGTTACTAATGTAAAAAAATGTCTCAAAGTAGATTTTAAAAAAAAAGGACAGCTGATGTTAACACGTGTTCTACTGATAGTTTTGCGTTCTTTAACATGTTTGGGGAGGGATGGCCGTGGTGTATCATTTATGCTTTCATTCATTCACATATGTATTTCTTTCTTTTGTTCTTTTTCTTTATTTATTTCATTCATTCACATATAATTCTTGCTCTTAATTCATTCATTCATTCATTCATTGTAAAATTCCGACTGATACAATAAACTGGCTGAAGTACTGTTAAACGCAGCCGAAGTTGCGCTGGGAACGAACCAAGTCACTGTGTGCGTTGGAGCATGACGAGGCACACGTTAATTAGTACAAATGGTAAAGAAAGCAAGCGAGTGACCTATCCCTGTTGTAGAGTATCCCTTTATTTAATAAATAATTTTTTTCTGTGCTTAGATGTACTACCGACAAATCCAGGTGACTTTCCAAGTCATGGATAAACTGGCTGAGTCCCTCACGAGCTGTCTACTGCTGTTAGACGACTTACTACCATCAAGTGACCTGCCGGAGGTGTCCTCGGAGGATGGGTGTGGGATGTTGTCCGCCATTACTTCGAAGACGTTGGCTTCTACATCGGACAACCCCTCAACGCAGACGTAGAAGAAGAAGCCATCCTCAACGCAGAATGAAGCCTCACAGACATCATCCCGATGGCAGTGAGATGACTTCATGATGAGCCGCTGCTGATCATCCCAGAGATACAGCACGCAGTCCGAGGGCGACAGATGAGCGATCCCTGGACCATATCGCTATCAACGCAGAGAGGGCAGCTCTACAATCATCGCAGACGATGAATAGAAGCCATCCTCTACCCAGAGAAGGCTACACACCCCTCAGATGACGACCAACTCTACGGGGACGTCTGCGCAGACTACAAGGACTTTCTCTGCCGAGATTGTCCCGATGACGGAACAGGGACTCTACGATGATCAACCGAATCATCATCCCAGAGGTTCATCCCAAAAAGCGATTGGTCTCAGCTACGGTGACGTCAGCGCAGATCTCTACTCAACCCGAGGTATCAACGTTGACAACAGATGACCGTCCAGTGGGCCCCGTCGCTATCACAGCAGAAAGGGCAGCGCCAGTACCACCGCAGACCTTCAACCCGGGCGACTTCATGCAGCAGTTCTCCCAACAGATCATGGAGATGATGGAGCAGCGTTACGGCCTGGAAAAGAAGTCACAGCCAGCCCAGGTCCCGAGCCTTCGCGAAGGCTCCAACGCAGACGTCATCTCTGAGGGGCCCTCCATCAACGTGACTTCTGCCAGCAGAACTACACTCCCGGAACAGCCTGCGCGAAGGTCGACTCAACAATCCGTCGAGGGATTCGCCGAGACATTCGCGAACCCACAGTCGCTCATCTCCGCGCAGGTCACCCTACAGACGCGGTTAAGCGGGCCACTCCCCACGCGATCTCCACGCCAATCTCCGCGCAGGTCTCCAAGCAGGTTTCCGCGCAGGTCTTCACGCAGGTCTCCATGCAGGTCTCCAAGCAGATCCACAGCGAAGCAGAGACATCGCAGTACTTAGTCTCTCAACTGAACGCTACATGCCATCAACAAGCCTGCGCGAACGCATTCGCGCAGGCCATCTACAATGCAGAGACGCTGCAGTACTTAGATTCTCAACAGAACGCTACATGCCATCACCGAGCCTGCTCGAAGGCATTCGCACAGGCCATCTACAAGGCAGAGCCGTCGCAGTACTTAGCTTCTTAACAGAACGCTACATGTCATCTACAACTTGCGCGAAGGACGGCGCTATCTTCAGAGACTGTCAACAGATGATGAGCCTAATAAAGGATCTTCAGGCCGACTACCTACATCAAGGGCATCAACGGCCCTGCGCGATCATCACCGGGAATCACCATTTTGAATATATTGCCAGGAAGGCAATCCCGGACTACTGAGACGATTACCTACACGCAAGGCCATACAGTCACACCACGCCGACCACCGCGCAGATCGCTATGCAGATCTTCAAGGTTATTCAACCAGGACACGAGGTATCGTCACCCTAGAGGGGGAAAGATCTTCGTCGGTACACAGACTGAAGGACATGTAATACAGTTCAAGAGGGGTACTCTTGTCCGACTTCATCACCGCACGGATCTTCAGACTGAATCCAGGTCAGGGATTCACTTAGATTGATATATCTACATTAGAAGACTCTTGGCCATATAGAAGATCTTCACTTTCGTACAGATCTGCAGATATTCTCACTGGCGTGGTTCAACAGCAGCCTTGCTACGGCTAGGAAAATACATACTCGTCAACGATTCCCTGAGTAGAATTTACAACAAAGTTCAGCATTAATTCTACAATTACGACGCTTCATTGATGTATGCAGTCTACAAGCTGACAACGTGAAGATTTAAGTTGATCATCGGTATAAAGGGCGACGGCATTATCTTCAGGACTGAAGTAACAGTCACAGCAGCCAGGAAAACAGCATACCCACATCGGTATTACGCGGCGAAATATTTCGCGCCAAAATATTTCGCCGTTTACCATTCAACCCTCGATACACGTGGTCACTCCCGTAACTTCGGAAGGCTACGGACAAGACCAACAATTGATCAGATATCAACGGCGGCACTAAATTCTACAAGGACCTTTTTTCCTGCTACACCGGTGACGTCACAGCGCGGCAAGCCAAAGGAATCAAAATGCTTTATTTTGATTGGACCACGAGAGACAATGCCCTGCGCAGAGGTCGGACGTAGTTCACAGGTCAAGAAATGGGTTACAAGTGACAACAACATGTCAGCGAGCGAGGAAGGCCTCAATTACAGTCAGCGAGCGAGGAAGGCCTCAATTACAGTCCAGTTAGACGGGACCTACGTGATTTGGCTGCCTTCATGAGGTTAGAGACCTTCCCTGTCATCATTGAAGACGATTCTTCAGACGACTTGCAGCAACATAAGTTGACCGGACTTAGGTGGCGGCAGCCAGACGACTTTATATAGACTTCCCAACGATGGCAGTCACAGAGTCGGACATCGCTTCATTTCCCTTACGGACACGGCAAGGGTTTCAAGATCGTAGGATATAGATACAAGTCCTTGTATCTCAAGCACTACTTTCTCCGTTATTACTACGAAGTGGCAGAGTCTGTTGGTTCTTCTCATGTCAGCACAAGACATGACACGCAGAGGGAGTCTACAACTACGCCCATTACAGGTCTTCGTGAATGTACAACTGAACGATCTGGACCCCTTCGGACTCCCGGACAGATTAAATCCATATTTAATATGGTGGACTCAGAGATAGGAAGGTCGCAGACACACCTATTTAGCAGAGCCGGAGTACAAGACGCATCTCTATGTGGACGCATCTCTCCAAGATTGGGGAGCACACCTCGACAACGATGTGTCAGCTGGGATATGGACCATAGCAGAGAAGATCTGCACTTCCACATGCTGGAAATGAAAGCAGTGATAAACGCCATACTCCACTGGACCAGCATTTTGAAGAATGCTCATCTGACGGTATATACAGTCACCTCCACAGTGGCGTTCTACATCCACAGAAGGATCAACAAAGTCGGTGAACCTTCTGGACCTCTGCTTTCAACTGGTCAGCATAACAGTCAACCTGAATGTCCACATCAGAGTATGCCACATTCCAAGAGCTAAGAATGTGATAGCAGATACACTATCCTGTCCAACGCAGCCATTCTCAACAGACTGGATGCTACATTCAGAGATCTTCAAGCAGATCATACAAGAGATGGGAGCACCATTAATAGACCTCTTGGCAACAAGGGTCAACTGATAACATTCGTCTCACCAATACCAGATCCACGGGCATGGGCAACGGACACGCTAAGCATCTCCTGGCTAGGACTAAACACTTACGCATTTCCACCACCAGCTCTAATACTGAGGGTGTTGCAGAAAATCAGTCAGGCGAGAGACCCACAACTATTTGGGGCGCGCCTTATTGGCCAGCGAGAATATGGTTTCCTATTCTCATACAAGACCTAGGACTGCCTCAACTGCAACTACCAGATGTGGACAAATCTACTAGTACATCCTCACACAAAGCAGGCGCACGGCAACCCAGAGGTGTGCCGGCTACACGTGTGGACTGTATCAAGGCATGCTTGAACAAGAGAGGATATTTCGCCAGGGCAGCGAAAGCAGTCACACTAGCTTTACGCAAGTCTTCACGCAACTTGTCCGACGACAAGTGGTGAAGCTTTGAGACAAAAGATACGTTTCGAGGATCGGCTTCACAGCCATGAAAGTGACATATCCTCAAGTGGCGGACTACCTTTGTCACCTAGACAAAGGAAGCGGTTAAAAGGGTCAACTCTCTCAACATACCTAGCGGCATTGAGCTCAGTTATCGCCATGAGGACGAGTGCAACTGACAAAAGTACCAGAGTACTGGCCTCACTCACTCATGCTTTTAATTGGAGGACCAACATCAGAGATTTAAAGCTCCGGCGTGGGACCTCAACGTAGTTCTACGACATCTCACTAGCGAGATCTACAAACCATTACAGAGAACATCATTCGAGTTCTTGACGCAGATGACGCTGTTCCTGATAACCTTAGTAACAGCAGCAAGGATGTTGGAAATACATGCTCTGGACTTCGAGAGAACACGATTTGATGCAAATCAAAACATTGTGCATATGGGACTGAGATGGGACTTCATAGCAAAGAATCAACTGCCAGGTCATCCAGACAGACAGTTCCACATCCCAACACTATCATCAGTCCTTGGACCACAGGGTACGCAGGTCCTATCCTTGTACCCAGTGAGAGCATTGAAAGTCTACCAACAAAGATCCAGGTCCAGGTGACGGAAATTCAAGGGTCTTTTCGTCTCGATATAGACAGCGACACAGACGGAGGTCTGCCGCACTAATATATCAAGCTGGAACAGAACTGTCATACTACGGGCCTACAAAGCAGCAGGACTTGATCCTCCAAGAGTCTCCAACCCACATGAAGTTAGAGCTCTGGCATCAACGCTCGCTCTACATGGGAATCGCTCTATCAGTACGATAATGGAGGGCTGCTTCTGGAAATGGGACAGGATGTTTGCCAACCTCTACCTGAAGGACGTCGCCACTGAGGATGGCTCTGGCATTCACCATTTCAGCCCAATTGTTGTAGCACAACAATTGACAGTCCCAAAAAGGTGCTGAGACGGAGTCTCGCCCTTTTATCACATGACTTACAAAGCCTACACTCCGGAGAGTTTTGCTTTAAGTCTATATGCACGTCTAGGACAGACTAGCATAAGTAATCTGACCCAGTACTTGTAAGGATACTTGTACAGGAATGGGTTGCTTCTCCACTCGGTGCTTGCATCAAGAGATGGAGTCGCAAAATCCACATAAAATGTTAACAGAAGAAAGGGTAGCAGGGCGTGGAGTCATCCCACAGATGACATCCCTACCTTGTCAGCTTGCTAACCTCTTTGGTCATGTGGACAAGGCGTCCGACTTCTGATCAGAAGGACCAAAAGTTAACTATTGTGGTCCCCCCATCTAAAGGCAGCTGGAAGGACAGGGTCGCAGCAGCAGCAGAGATTAGCAGTTAAATACAGTTCCAACACGAAGTTCCCATAGGGGGGTATAGAGACGTAAATCACTACATGAAATCCAAAGTAACTTGCCCGCCGCCTTTTTCCGTCAGTTTCTACAAGCATTAAGCATGAGTCAGGATAAGGAAAAATATGTAATTTTCTGAATAAAATTGATATTTTATACTTATCCTGACTCACCTCCAATTCAAGTGTCGGGCTCATAATCAGGAGAGAGTGAAGCATGTGGGGATGGTGGCGCCACAGTTTCCCGCCTCAACAGCTGGAGAGATAACTCTTGGGAGGAGTGATTTTACGTCTGTTCTTTATTGAAGGGAGCTTCAATAGGAGATACAAGTGTTCCACTAACGTTCGCAAGAGGAAGGAGACAAGCATTAAGCATGAGTCAGGATAAGTATAAAATATCAATTTTATTCAGAAAATTACATTTTGTTTCGCTAAATATCATCCTTTTTGTAGCTGGACGATCACATGTCAACAAACTGGCTTGCTTATTTTACCCCATTCAACAATCACAAACTGATTACCGCCTCGTTTTCCATGGACTGCTAGTTTTCAGTAACATAGGCAAAAATGTGTGAATTCAAATGGCTTGCTTATTTTACCCCATTCCATGTGCGTACAACTTCCGCTTACCACGTTCATGAGGGTCCGTATAACCTTAGTGTTGATTATATATATTTCACATTTGTAGAGCAAAAACTGTAATTAAAATTACACAATGCTAGGATATATTTCTTTGGGTTAAATAATAGTACTCTGTATTATATTTTACTGATGACTGCGTCAGAATTAATTCCGTTATATTATTGTGCATGTTTGAACTTAATCGCCGGAAAAGTGTGCAAAGCTGATTGCTATTTCCGGCTCAAATACACACAGTAATCTTGATCTTAATTAATTTATGGAGCAAAAACCGTAATTAAAATTACACAATGCTAGGATATATTTCTTTGGGTTAAATAATAGTATTCTGTATTATATTTTACTGATGACTGCATCAGAATTCATTCCGTTATATTATATTATTGTGCATATGTTTGAACTTGATCGCTGGGAAACGTGTGCACAGCTGATTGCTATTTCCGGCTCAAATTTACACGGTAATCTTAATCCCTGCAAATAATACAATGCCAAGCAAAAACAACTTAGAACTTAAAAGGAAAATAATCATGTCTATTGATGTTTAATTGCAAATTTGACGTCTTTAGTGACAAAGTTGTCTTCTGTTGTTTGTTCATGCGAAGTGATACGATGTTGTTTTCTTACCCCTGGAAAAAAGTTTTGACGAAAGCATAACCCATAGATAAGCCGACCCCCTTCTACAGACTGTTTTTCGGTCTTCAAAATTCGGCTTATCTATGGTAATATACGGTACCTTGGCATATCTACCAGTGAGCATAGCTGTGAGTATGGACATTAGTGAGTATAGCTACCAGTCAGTATAGCTACCAGTCAGTATAGGTAACAGGCCCTGGCCCCGATTTCTCGAAACAAACTTAATTTTTACTCAAATCTCAAACTGAGTTTGACAATTTGAAACAGCAATTGAACTCAACTGCATTTTTAAAATAAAAAGCCCAAACAACTTGAGTAATCTATCCACGAAACTCAAATTGTCTACTATGTTTGAGTTTAATATCGATTTCAGTTCATTCCGAGAAATGCATTTTCCTGCGTTTCTCAAATTTGAGTAAAAACTCAGACCTAAGTTTGTTTCGAGAAATTGGGACCTGATCTCAAAATCAGATGGTGTACAACGAGCGTGTATGTGATTTTTTCAGAGATCTTCTTATTTGCCTTCAAGAGAAGTCGGAGCTTGCAGTCAGCTGTGCTGACTTTGACAAGGAATATACTGTGGAAAATGTTTTTCAGGTCAGTGAAAATGTTAAGTTTTGTCTAAACCACATACCTTTTGACAAAGAAAGATCTATAAAAATGGTTAAAAGACATTTCTTACTTTTGCATATTGTGCTGCAAGCAAAATGTTTTTTTGTTGTAAAAATACAGTTTACTTTGAATGATTTGTAAGCAATTTGTCAAAACATACATGTAAGAAAGGTGGCTGTACACCTCCGCGATTTTTTATGTAGCTATATTTGAGCTTTATAAGTACAATGATTTTGATGTTGTGCTTCTGTTTGAACAGGTGCTAGAACAGATTTTCAGGTTTATAGAGAAGTCCTACAAGCTGTTCCAGGGGTGGGTAACAATGCTCTGTGTTTACTATTTACAAAAACAGAAATGAATGGGGTAATGTCACAAACTGCTTGTGTTGAGCAGAAAAATAGTAAATGACACTGACACTTTTAGTATGATATTCAGTGCCCTTTCACTTTGAACAAATTCAACATGAACTATGAATTAAATCCAGTTTAGCCCAAAGCCCTGTAGATGGCAGGCTGTAAGTGGCAGACCCAAGGCTTCTGCACATCGTACTGTCCTGAACAATCTTGTTACCCTTATGTGATATAACACTTAAAAGACAAATGAAGTGATATTTCACTGGAAATGTGAGGTGAGGTGAGGTGAAATTGGGTTTTACGTCGTGCTTGAGAATATTTCGCTCATATGACGACGTGCATGCGTGTGTATGTGTTTGTGCGGCTGCTTGTACTAGCCCAGACTTAAGCTGGTTTTATAGTGCAAGCCCACTGAGATACCATGCCGCAGTGAAGCATGAATACCCCACTAAGACACATTATACTGACTCCGAGCCGACTAGTCCTTGTTGTACCCATTAATGCCGAGCGCCAGGCAGGGACCAACAAATACCATATTTTAACGTCTTTTGGTATGACGCGGTCGGGGATTGAACCAGCGACCTTCCGCTCTCTGGGCGGACGCTCTAACCACTACACCACGGAGGCGGTCCACTGGAAATGTGTTCATCGTGAGGACATAGTGGAGTGGTAGCCTTGCGGTTCAAGCATTTGCTCATGCCGAAGGCCAGGGTTTTATTCCCCACATGGGTACAATGTGTGGAGCCCATTTTGTAGTTTCTGTAGTTATATCGCTGGAATATTGCTAAAACACACTCACTCACTCACACACTGTTTTTGCAGACAATATGGAGTTCAGAAAGACAACTTCAAGCAGCTCCTGGGCAGTGTGTTTCGAAGCTTCGGGAGAATCATGTCATCCAGTGAAGCAGCCTTACGTAAAGCACAGGTGAGTCAGTGCAGATTGTCATAGTTTAAACATTGTAGTCTTGTCCGGTGCACAGGTGAGTCAGTGCAGACTGTCAGGGATGAAACATTGTGGTCTTGTCCGGTGCACAGGTGAGTCAGTGCAGATTGTCATAGTTAAAACATTGTGGTCTTGTCCGGTACACAGGTGAATCTGTGCAGGTTGTCATAGTAAAAACACTGTGGTCTTGTCAGGTTGACAGGTGAATCAGTGCAGGTTGTCATAATTAAAACACTGTGGTCTTGTCCGGTTGACAGGTGAATCAGTGCAGGTTGTCATAATTAAAACACTGTGGTCTTGTCCGGTTGACAGGTGAATCAGTGCAGGTTGTCATAGTTAAAACACTGTGGTCTTGTCAGGTTGACAGGTGAATCAGTGCAGGTTGTCATAATTAAAACACTGTGGTCTTGTCAGGTTGACAGGTGAATCAGTGCAGGTTGTCATAGTTAAAAAACACTGTGGTCTTGTCAGGTTGACAGGTGAATCAGTGCAGGTTGTCATAGTTAAAACACTGTGGTCTTGTCAGGTTGACAGGTGAATCAGTGCAGGTTGTCATAGTTAAAACACTGTGGTCTTGTCAGGTTGACAGGTGAATCAGTGCAGGTTGTCATAATTAAAACACTGTGGTCTTGTCAGGTTGACAGGTGAATCAGTGCAGGTTGTCATAGTTAAAACACTGTGGTCTTGTCAAAATCACTTGTCATAATTAAAACTTGGTCTTGTCAGGTTGACAGGTGAATCAGTGCAGGTTGTCATAGTTAAAACACTGTGTCTTGTCAGGTTGACAGGTGAATCAGTGCAGGTTGTCATAGGTGTTAAAACACTGTGGTCTTGTCAGGTTGACAGGTGAATCAGTGCAGGTTGTCATAATTAAAACACTGTGGTCTTGTCACAGGTGAATCACAGGTGAATCAGTGGTGCACAGGTGTTGTTTTTGTCATAGTTAAAACACTGTGGTCTTGTCAGGTTGACAGGTGAATCAGTGCAGGTTGTCATAGTTAAAACACTGTGGTCTTGTCAGGTTGACAGGTGAATCAGTGCAGGTTGTCATAGTTAAAACACTGTGGTCTTGTCAGGTTGACAGGTGAATCAGGTGAATCAGTGCAGGTTGTCATAGTTAAAAAACACTGTGGTCTTGTCAGGTTGACAGGTGAATCAGTGCAGATTGTCATAGTTAAAACACTGTGGTCTTGTCAGGTTGACAGGTGAATCAGTGCAGGTTGTCATAGTTAAAACACTGTGGTCTTGTCAGGTTGACAGGTGAATCAGTGCAGATTGTCATAGTTAAAACACTGTGGTCTTGTCAGGTTGACAGGTGAATCAGTGCAAGTTGTCATAGTTAGAACACTGGTTTTGTCAGGTGCAGAGGTAGTTTAATGTCTGTGTTTAGTAGTATTAAGGTTCCAAGGATGAGCATATGAGGAAAATCAGATGGGATTCAGGGTGGCTCATACTGTGTGTTAAGACCATACTGTTTCTCATGTCTCAGGTGTGCATTAATTTCAGTGATTTTATTTGATTTAAATTCTGCACTCAACTTTACTCAACTGTTAAGGCAATCTCACTCACTCACTCCAGTCACCTGAATGTTGTCCTTCCCTACAGGTGATGCTGCTGAAGCAGCTGAACAAGACGTTCCAGTCGCTGCTGAAGATCATCACCCGCAAGGAACTGGCGGGTCTTGTCCAGGACATGTGCAGCAAGATGTCCAAAGATCTGCAGCCCTTGTTGCTGGAAGCCAAGGTGCAACTGTGCCGTGAGATGGTCAACTCTGACCTCTTCCCAGAACAAGGTAGGCAGTCATTGCTGAACTAAACAAGTACCTTAAGTTTCCTGAGCTTGTTCTGGCTTATGTTTGGTTGGCTATTAGTTCTCTTTGTCTGAGATTAAGGTTTGTTGAAATTGAATATACTAACAGCTGTCATATTATGTTGCAGCGTCCAGGGATATTGTGTTGCCCATGTGTATGTCAGCCATCAAGAAATGCCTTATCACCAAGCGGGTTCTTCCTCTGGCATCTCAGACCTTGGGGGACATCCTGGACCGGTTCAGAGAGGTCAGCATTACAGCAAGGCTATCCTCCTATGTTGTCATAGTTGGGTGTTCCTTCTGTGTTGTCATAGTGGGGTGTTCTTTCTGTGTTGTCATATTGGGGTGTTCCTTCTGTGTTGTCATAGTGGGGTGTTCCTTCTGTGTTGTCATATTGGGGTGTTCCTTCTGTGTTGTCATAATGGGGTGTTCCTTCTGTGTTGTCATAGTGGGGTGTTCTTTCTGTGTTGTCATAGTTGGGGTGTTCCTTCTGTGTTGTCATAGTGGGGTGTTCCTTCTGTGTTGTCATATTGGGGTGTTCTTTCTGTGGTGTCATAATGGGGTGTTCTTTCCATGTTGTCATATTTGGGTGTTCTGTCTGTGTTGTCATAGTGGGGTGTTCCTTCTGTGTTGTCATAGTGGGGTGTTCTGTCTATGTTGTCATAGTGGGGTGTTCTTTCTGTGTTGTCATAGTGGGGTGATCCTTCTGTGTTGTCATAGTGGGGTGTTCTGTCTATGTTGTCATATTGGGGTGTTCCGTCTGTGTTGTCATAGTGGGGTGTTCCTTCTGTGTTGTCATAGTGGGGTGTTCCTTCTGTGTTGTCATATTGGGGTGTTCTTTCTGTGGTGTCATAATGGGGTGTTCTTTCCATGTTGTCATATTTGGGTGTTCTGTCTGTGTTGTCATAGTGGGGTGTTCCTTCTGTGTTGTCATAGTGGGGTGTTCTGTCTATGTTGTCATAGTGTTGTCATAGGGTGGTTGTCATTGTCTTCCTTCTGTGTTGTCATATTGGGGTGATCCTTCTGTGTTGTCATAGTGGGGTGTTCTGTCTATGTTGTCATATTGGGGTGTTCCGTCTGTGTTGTCATAGTGGGGTGTTCTGTCTGTGTTGTCATATTGGGGTGTCCTTCTCTGTGTTGTCATATTGGGGTGTTCCTTCTGTGTTGTCATATTGGGGTGTTCCTTCTGTGTTGTCATATTGGGGTGTCCTTTCAGTGTTGTCATATTGGGGTGTTCCATCTGTGTTGTCATAGTTGGGTGTTCCTTCTGTGTTGTCATAGTTGGGTGTTCCTTCTGTGTTGTCATTGTGGGGTGTTCTTTCCATGTTGTCATAATGGGGTGTTTTTTCTGTGTTGTCATATTGGGGTGTTCCTTCTGTGTTGTCATAGTGGGGTGTTCTTTCCATGTTGTCATAATGGGGTGTTTTTTCTGTGTTTTCATATTGGGGCTTATTTCTATGTTGTCAGACATATTATTTCTGTGTTGTGAAAGTGTGGTGTTATTTCTGTGTTGTCAAAGTGTGGTGTCCTTTCTGTGTTGTCATAGTGGGGTGTTCTTTCTGTGTTATAGTGGGGTGTCATTCCTGTGATGTCATATTGGGGTGTCCTTTCTGTGTTGTCATAGTGGGGTGTCCTTTCTGTGTTATAGTGGGGTGTCATTCCTGTGATGTCATATTGGGGTGTCCTTTCTGTGTTGTCATAGTGGGGTGTTCTTTCTGTGTTATAGTGGGGTGTCATTCCTGTGATGTCATATTGGGGTGTCCTTTCTGTGTTGTCATAGTGGGGTGTCCTTTCTGTGTTATAGTGGGGTGTTCCTTCTGTGTTGTCATAGTGGGGTGTCCTTTCTGTGTTGTCATTGTAGGTGTTCTTTCTATGTTGTGTGAACGTGTTCCTATGTGTACAAGAGTAAAGTACATGTGTTCCTGTCTGTACAGATCTCGGTGCATGACGGAGACAGTCAGTATGTCCTGAAGATCCTGTTTGACCTGCTGATGCAGACTCTGTTGACCATGGACGAGGCGCAGCAAGAGGAAGCTGGGGTGAGTAGTGTTGATACAGGGGTCATTCAACACCTCAGCATGAACATTGGGAACGTATCAAACTGAGGAATCCTCCATCAAAATATCTCAAACATATGACAACATGTTATGATAAGATAACTACATTATGTGTGTGTATATAAAACAAGAAGGCAGATTTTGATTTTGAAAAATATGTTTTCAATAATAAATAATTCAATTACGAGATAATTCTGCAATCTTCTCCATAGTGAGGGAGAGTGTTCAGGGCTTACTGCTGATGCATGGTCTATACCGGCTGTCTCACTGGCCTTTGGGAATACATAAGAAATGAGTTAGACACAAGTCATGAATGATTTGTCATGTCAAGATTCCCTCAACTATAATCTAAGCATTGTTCTGGGCTCCATTTGAATGTTATTTGATTTAGTTGATATATATTTGAAAGTAAGATCACTTTATTTGGTGACTAAGTGTTAATCTAATGTATAGCTGTTTTGAGCTGTGGAACAGTGTACTCCCTTCTCAGTCTGCACAGGCTTACCCAATTGATTAGGTTTGTCATGGACATACCTAAGCTTGTCATATTTATTAAAGTTGTAAACCTGCATTATATCAGGCTTTCCTCCCAAATTTGGGACGATGGGGTAGCCTAGTGGTTAAAGCGTTTGCTCGTCACACGGAAGACCTGGGTTCGATTCCCCACATGGGTACAATATGTGAAGCCCATTTCTGGTGTCCCCTCCGTGATATTGCTAAAATATTGCTTAAAACAGCGTAAAACTAGTCACTCACTGATTCCTCCCAAATTTGAGCCAACACACCTCGATATGAATGGAATACTCTTAGAAGCAGCATTAAACCCAACTCACTCACTCACTCTGTGTCTGCAGGGCATAATGATCTGCTGCCTGATGGAGCTACTGAGGAAGATGGAGGAGCTCCACTACACCTCTCTCATGAACACGTACCCCAAGGGGAGGCCACTCAAGGTAATCCTCCCCATCCACAGGACTTACTTTCTGAAATCTGCTTAGGGCAATAACTTAACTCTTCTTTATAAATCTTTCTTTGAATATGGTTATGATATGGTTTGATGTCAGATTCATTATGTGAAAATGCCCAAAGCACTGTTTCATCATCCCTACTCCTTTTCTCAGATCTCATATAATGATGGGAGTAGCAGTTTGTCAAGCAGAATTTGCAAAGATGCCAACCATTATGATTTTGGTGCATTTTTTAAATATTTTTATCCTGTAATTATGCTTTTATGCATGTTTACTCCAGATTATGATTTTTGTCATTTTATTGTGAATTAAAGCTTGTATATAATATATCAGAGAGAATCACTTGGTGACAGTGTGTTAGTGTGTTAGTGTGTGTCATGGCTGGTGTATATTGCAGGACTTCCTTATCCGAGTGCTGCTGGTGTTCCGTGACCTCATCAAGCGGGATGTCTTTCCCGCCAACTGGACTGTTATGAGGATGGCCACCAATCAGTGAGTAGCCACCTCAGTCCTCCCACAGTCTACTCACAGTGGACCCACTATCCACCTACAGTCCACTCCAATTGACCAACAGTCTGCCTCTCACAGTTGAGCCATAGTACATTCACAGTCTTCCCCAGTTGACCTACATTTCTCCTCAGCTCTCGCCAGTTGACCTACATTCACGGTCCTCCCCAGCTGACCTACATTCCTCCACAGTCTACCCACAGTCGACCTACATCTCTCCACAGTCCACCCCGTTGACCTACATTCCTCCACAGTCCACCCGCAGTTGACCCTACGCCCCTCCAGTCTACCTACAGTTGACCTTCATTCCTCTACAGTTGACCTACATTCCTCCAGTCCACCCACAGCTGGCCTACATCCCTCCACAGTCCACCCAGTTGACCTACATTCCTCTACATATGACCTACATTCCTCCACAGTCCACACACAGTTGACCTAAATCCTCCACAGTCCACCCCAGTTGACCTACATCCCTCCACAGTCCACCCACAGTTGATGTACATTCCTCCAGTCCACACACAGTTGACCTACATTTCTCCTCAGTCCACACACAGTTGACCTACATTTCTCTACAGTCCAGACACAGTTGACCTACATTCCTCCACAGTCCACCCACATGTTGATCACTACATTCCTCCATTCCTCTAGTCCACACACAGTTGACCTACATTCCTCTACAGTCCACACACAGTTGACTTACATTCCTCCACAGTCCACACACAGTTGACCTACATCCCTCCACAGTCCACACACAGTTGACCTACATTCCTCTACAGTCCACACACAGTTGACATACATTCCTCCACAGTCCACACACAGTTGACCTACATTCCTCTACAGTCCACACCCAGTTGACCTACATCCCTCCACAGTCCACCCACAGTTGACCTACATCCCCCAGCAGTCCACAGAGGTTGTTGATCAATAGTCTATCCACTGTCGTACCACAGTTCTCCCACAGATCATCAACATTTTAAAATTGTTATTGAAATTTATATAGAAATCACACCACGGAAGTACAACACACAGATTGTTCTACAGTGATAAGTTCTGTTTTTGCTGACTGACATGGTACAATATTAATTAATTCACTGGTTTGATTGCTTGAGTAGTGAGTTCTGCTGGTTTTAAGTCAGTTAATCAATTATTGATAGTGAAAATTTCCAGATTTATAATGAGTTTGAATGTGGAATTCACCAATTATTTGAGTGTTTCAACTGCCTGTGGTTTATTACAGCCATCATTTACTGATCTGTTTCAGTGTGATCCTGACTGCCATCCAGTACGTAGCCCAGTCTCTCACCGAAGACTTCCTCACTGGGATAGACTTCGATAACCAGGTGAGATATGGGGGAAGCACAGCATGGTGTGTGTATGTGTTTCCTGCATCCAGTAGGATTATGGAAATGAGAAAAGAAGAAAATAACAATAACGTTACAGATATGTTGAAAATTGTTTTTAAAATAAAACTGGTAGCATTAGGAGAGATTCAGTTCATTCAGATTTGTGATGAATTTGTTAAAAAAGATTCCTAAATGGTATGTGTAAGGGTACCCTTTCCACACATTAACATACTCTGTTACCTGAAAGATATAGTGTGTTAATAAGGCACTGATAAGTAATATTGAGGTCTTTTTCCCCAGTTGTGGAGCAACTACTTTGATCTGGCGGTATCCTTCGTGACACAGCCCAGTCTGCAGCTAGAGAAGATCTCTGACGCCAAGAGAAACAAGGTCAAGGACAGGTCAGTGCTCCTGAGTTCAGGTATTAGTTTCAGAGCAGAAACAAGCCGATTTCAGTATAGGTGAGGCCACAAAACAATCTTACCTCTACAACTATCGTAAGTGAGTGAGTGAGTTTTACGCCTCTCTCAGCAATATTCCAGCTATATGGTGGCTGTCTGTACATAATCGAGTCTGGACCAGACAATCCAGTGATCAACAGCATGAGCATCGATCTATGCAATTGGGATACGATGACATGTGTCAACCAAGTCAGCTAGCCTGACCACCCGATCCCCACCCACCCTCTTTCAACAAGTATGGTTTGCTGAAGACCAGTCTAACCTGGATCTTCACGGGTAACTATTGTAAGTCAATACTATAGGACAGGAGTTAAGATCACCATAGTGGTACGATCACGCGTGTTAAATGGGCCCAACATTTGAAGCAGTTAAGAGCAGTAGTTTTCGTAGTTCAGAGCACTATTGTAAATTTTTACTGGCATATTGGCTATGAATAATAGCTAAATAATAGCTGAGAATAAAAGCTTAAAGTTTAGAATTCTTATTGTTTGGATTTCTGTTTCAGGTACCAAGACATGAGAGTTCTCATTGGTTTACAGATTCAGACCTTATGGAATGGATTAGGTAATGATATCCAGCTTCGGTCTAGGTTGTGGTGCTTTGAGGGTCATAATGGGAGATATATGTGAGTGAGTGAGTGAGTGAGGCTTAACGCAATATCAAGGCAGGGGAGCCCAAAATGGGCTTAACACCCTGTACCCATGTAGCACAATCAAACCTGGGTCTTCGGCATGAAGAGTGAGTGAGTGAGTTAATATTTAACGTCACATCGGCAATATCGCAGCCATATCATGACGAAAACAATTTATACAATAAATTGGCATGAAGAGCAAACGCTTTAACCACTAAGGTGTGGAATCAAACCTGGATTTTCAGTATAATGACTGACTGAGTATGGTATTACGCCGCTTTTAGCATGGTCCAGCAATATCAAGGCGGGGGACACCAGAAATTGTCTTCACAAATTGTACCCATGTGAGGAATCGAACCTGGGCCTTCAGCGTGATGAGCGAATGCTTTAACCACTAGGCTAGCCCACCGCCCCTTCAGTATAATGAATGAATGCTATAAGAATTAGGCTTCCCAATCATCTAGAAATGATCAATGTTTTAAAATCATGATCAAGGGTTTACCTATAGATGAATTTTGATGAGAGAAATACAACTTAATTGTATTTCTATGTGCATGTTAAATGTCTGTAATTTAGGAACATAGTGTTAAGAAAATAAAAAAAGTGTTTTCATTTCCCAGGAAATCAAAAGAGACATTTCATTCCATCCCTGGTTGGTCCATTCCTAGAGGTTACCATGGTACCAGAGACAGATGTCAGGAAGGCAACCATTCCAATATTCTTTGACATGATGTTGTGTGAACAGCAAGTAAAAGGAAACTTTACCTCAGTAAGTATTACAATACCTGTTAAACCTTCACCTCAGGAAGTAGTACAACACCAGTTAAACCTTCACCTCAGGAAGTAGTACAACACCAGTTAAACCTTCACCTCAGGGAAGTAGTACACCACCAGTTAAACCTTCACCTCAGGAAGTAGTACAACACCAGTTAAACCTTCACCTCAGGAAGTAGTACAACACTAGTTAAACCTTTACCTCAGGAAGTAGTACAACACCAGTTAAACCTTCACTTCAGGAAGTAGTACAACACCAGTTAAACCTTCACCTCAGGAAGTAGTTTAACACCAGTTAAACCTTCACTTCATCACGATGTTACTTAAACCTTCACTTCTATAAGTTCTACGATACTAGTTAAACTTGCACTTCTGTAAGGATTTCAATCCATGTTTAACCTTCACCTCTGTAAGTATCCACCCGTGAAGATCCAGGTTAGAATTGATCTTCAGTAACCCATGCTTGTCATAAGAGGCGACTAAGGGGATTGGGTGGTCAGGCTCACTGACTTGGTTGACACCTGTCATCGTATCCCAATTGCGTAGATCGATACACATGCTGTTGATCACTGGATTGTCTGGTCCAGACTTGATTATGTACAGACCGCCGCCATATAGCTGGAATATCGCTGAGAGCGGTGTAAAACTAAACTCACTCACTCACTCACTCTGTTAGTATCCAGTTGAGCTACAACCCTTCCCATGCTACGTTTTGTTGAACTAGAGATTTTATGTATGCTTCCAGCTAATTGTCATAGAACATACAATTTTCTGACAGACACCAAATATTCTTGTGATTACTATGGCCTGGTTCCGCCAAGTGATCTTAGCATTACAGACAGTTATGTCAACATGGCTTCCGGGAGCTGCACCAGAACAGTTGTCTCAGGTGCTTCCTCACAGACTTCTTTGAGTGGCATTTTAGAAGTTGGGAAGCACAATATTGACTGCTTGACAACAGTACAAGAATCTGTATTGAAATGTCGTACTCATGATAAAAGAAGTTGTTATCCATAATAATTGTACTTACTCATAGACTTCTGATCGTCGACGCACTATAGCTGTCTTTCCTCATAGACTTTGTCGTGCGAAAGTTGGCTCAACACCTACAATAGTTTTACGCCATTTTGACAATGTTCCAGCAATATCACGGCGAAATGGGCTTCCCATATTGTACACATGTAGAGAATCGAACTGGGCCTTAGGCATGATGAGTGAACACCTTAACTGCTAGGCTACCCCACCTACACTCCAGTGTAGTCTTGACTGTCAGTATGTGTTCTCAGTTTGGAATGCCCATTAATGTTCTCAGTCAAGAATGTCCATATGAGATATCAGTATTCTGAGGCCATACTAGTATGTAATCTCTGTGTGTCTTGGCAGCTGGAGATCGAGATAATTAAGAAGATTGACATCCTGATCACTGGGAACAATGGGGACACTGAGTACAGGACTCTGTTCAACCAGATGTAAGTATGAACACACAATGCCTTGGAAAAAGTGGTCAAATGTAACACATGCTTTACTTGTGACTTTACTTCCTTAGTAAAGTACAGATTCTAGTACTAGGGGTGGGGGTTTGTCTCATCCAGGATTAAAACCTACACCCTCAAAGTGAGACAGCTAATTTCCACCACACAAAGTCAGAGATCTAACCCACTCAGCCACCATGGATGTCCAGATATAGAAGGCTGACAACTGGAAGTCTAGATTACCTACTTTGTGTACTTGTCTGACAAGTTTACATATGCATGGAAGAAATCTATGAATACACAATGCCTTTACTAAGAAAATCTAATCCCAGAGTAAATGTTGCATTGAAGAATTAGCAGATCTCATGACAAAAACAATAAATGCCCATATATATTAGGTACAAAAAACCTTTTCCAGTTGGGATGTAAGAAAACTTAAATAGTTGGAAACATGACTAACAGGATCGGGTGGTCAGGCTTGCTGACTTGGTTGACACATGTCATCGTATCCCAATTGCGTAGATTGATGCTCATGCAGTTGATCACTGGATTGTCTGATCCAGACTTGATTATTTACAGACCGCCACCATATAGCTGGAATATTGCTGAAAGAGTGTTAAACAACAAGCCAACAAACAAACAACTCTCTCATTTCTTCTAATCAGGGAAAACAAAATGTTTGTAAAGGAAAAACCTGGTTAATGATATTGTGCGTCCAAGGTTTGAGATGACGATTTGAGCATGATTTGTGGTTAGCAGCATAATTATAGTCAATCACGGAAGATAATATAGCAATGCACCTAGTGGACAATGGACACAACATAAAGAAGTATGTTTGGTTCAAATTGAAAGGAAGCAGTTACAGTTTTGAGACGTTGTTCTTGTGGGGTTGGTGTGCTGATGTGTTTGGAACTGGCGTGTTTCCAAGAATTAAGATGTGAAGGTAATAAAGTACAGTAACTCAATTACCACTCAAATGTCAGGGTTGAACAAATCCAGGTTTCATCAGGAGGGCCAGTGAGGCAGTCTGAACTTAACTTAATTGAACACAGGATAGTGTGTGTGTGTTTACACTTTTAAGAACTTTAAATATATTTACTTCCAGTATGGGTATATTTTCAAATTCTCTAGTTTTTGGATTTTGTGAGTTTAAATTTAATTTAATAGTGTAAAAACAACTTTTCAAACTACTTTTTCAATGGTTTGAAACTTTGTTATTTGTCAGGGCTTACAAATAGAGGAGGATAGTTTTTTATACAAAATATTTTTTTATATAGACTCATTAAACACCCATTTCATCCATGTGTCTTTTGTCATGTGCATTGTTGATACATATATATTACGAAAATGTCATATGAAATATTATACAAAAATTATCCATATCATACAAACTGTCTATGTAAAGCTCATGCACTTTAAGTGTCACAGAAGATTATCAGCAAGAGCTAAAATTGTTGTACACTTTTGTTTATGCAATGATAACTGTTTCCATATTAGATGTGATAAGGGACCGTTCGTAATTTATGGCTGGGGGTGGGTGGGGTGTGTGATGATTTTAAGGGGGTCACATTTTGTTCTGGGGAGCTAGGGGTCATCAATTTTGTACACATGTACTAGGGGGTGTCAGCAATTTTGTACATAAAAATCTTTTAAAATTATGCTTAGAAATTATGGGGGTGTCATTGATTTTGTACATGACATGCAGGGGTGTCACTTATTTTGAAATAAATTTTAGGGGGGGGGAGGGGGTCATTCACATTGTACATGCTTCTCCATAAAACTCATCATCACCCCCCTAGCCATAAATTATGAACAGTCCCTAATCTAATAACTTGGGGTACTTCCTGTTGAGTGACCACCTACTTTAGGTGTAACACAAACTGTCAGATGTAAGATCAAATGATAACTATATCCCTCAATTGCTAAAAATATCATTTATCAAGCAGGCCAACTGCATTCTCCTTCCCAGAGATGTTTACATAATGAGCACATTTTATCAGCTCATAATATCCAGTCTGTGTTATTATTGATAATATGAGGTAATTAGGACTGTCACTTGTGTCTGTTATATCCCGGCAATGTGTAACAATTATACACAACCAGCTGATAATGTGCAACAATTATAAACAGAACATGACTAGCAATGAATGTCAGTGCTGGGACAGTGTTGAAAGATTCAGGGCACACGTTCACTTGGAGATAGTGGGACACTTGTCAATATCCGGTTGGTTTTCGTTAAAACTGGAAAAGTATATCCAAATATTACGAAGGGATCAGATGGAAGATGATACACTTAGCGTAGATTGAATATGTTTGACCAGGATGCAAAAGAATCAGATGTCGCATCACAAGAAAAGGTATATGTAACATAACATAGAATTATATGATATTTATAGTTTTAAGATGCTCTTGTTCAATATCAATTGCTGTGTATGGAATGAAAATATGAATGGTAGCGTAATTGATGTTTGAATTTGTTTCTTTCCACAGTTGTGTCTTATGTGTTAAGTGTTGAAAAATACGTACTCAACATTGTGACAAGTATCTTTTTTTTTACAGTGCTGATTTGTGGGATATAATGGTTGTAATCAGTTATATATTCAGTGAGTGATTGTGAACTTTTTAATTGCAGCATAAATACAAATTTCTGATTTTAATCTTCATGATACAGTAATTGATGAAATATGTAATGAGAAGATGATTGTGATCCTGTGAAGATTTGGGTTAGAACTGGTCTGGCAACCCATGCTTGTCTTCAGAGGCAACTTACTGGATCGGGATTGGGTGGTCAGGCTGGCTGACTTGTTAATGCTTCTTGAAACAAACAGAACAATGATTGTGTGGTGATCAAGAGTGAGTGAGTGAGTTGGGGCATACACCACTTTGAACAGTATTTCAGTTATAAGACGGCATGTCAGCTTGATGTGGGAGGAAGCTGGGAAGATCTGGGTTAGAATTCCAGGTGTTCTGAGTGACCGATGTAAGAGGCGACTAACGGGATCTGGTGGTCAGGCCCCCTGACTTGTTTGACACATGTCATCATATCACATTTGTGTATATGGATGCTCATGCTGTTGATCACTGGATTGTCTGGTCCAGACTGGATTGTTTACAGACCGGCGCCATATAGCTGGAATATTGGTGAGTGCGGCGTTAAACAACAACCAAACCAAGAATGTGGGAGGGCAGCCCCGACTGATGCGACTCTTTCTCGCTTACCTTGGACACACATTTAATGCTGATAAATCTGGAAGTTAGATGAAAGCAAAATGGATTTGAGCCCATGATCAGAGGTTCCTGGCATTTCCAAGGGGCATAACTGTGTACAGCAAATTGCCATGCCCAAGACAACTTAGTCACTTGTGTCCCATCATCAGTAAAATCATGAGGACAAACTTACTTACTTGTACAGTTTAATAAACTGTTAGGTTTCTTGTCTGATGTAAAGATTATTTTAAGTGCCTATATACAACATTGCTCAGTGGGGGAAACATATCTTGAAATTGGGACATCACTGAGCACACTCTGGTGCAGGGATGAATTATCGTGACATCACTGCCACAGGCTAATTTGCATATCACATGACCAGACTTTTCTCTTGTTTGTAAATAAACATACCGGTACTTATTATGAAATCAGATGAGAGCAGCCTTATGCGAACTTTTAGGTGCTACATGGGTACAATGTGTGAATCCCATTTCTGGTGTCCCCTGCCGTGATATTGCTGGACTGACTGACTGACTGAGTTTGGTTTTACGCCGCTTTTAGCAATATTCCAGCAATATCACGGCGGGGGACACCAGAAATGGGCTTCACTCATTGTACCCATGTGGGGATTCGAACCCAGGTCTTCGGTGTGATGAGCCAATGCTTTAACCACTAGACTACCCCACCGCCCCGATATTGCTGGAATACTGCTAAAAGCGGTTAAAACTCACTCACTCACTCACTCACATTTAGGTGCACTTAGTTAAGTAGATATTCTACTACAACTGCGATATTACCACTCTGTAGGTGGAGGTGGATTCATATTTATACATCAAATGGACCATATCGCTAGCTCTCCATAGTGAGAGTGACAGTATGTGGAAACAGCACAAAAGTACTCTGATCAAAATATAGTGTTTCACGTTTGAGGATATTTCCACAATGAAAGTAGATCATTCTATCGCAGATGTTTAGTTTGTGTAGGCTCATGAAACAGATGGAAAATAAATGCAGTTTGATGAATTGTCACATTGAGGCAGCTGCCTGTGGCAGAGACTCTATGCTGGCTGCATGGACCTCAGGATAGGAGAGTGAGTTACCTCATGGTCAGTTATCCAGTGTAACAATAACTAGTGCTTGCTCAAGGCTGAGCCAGTGTAACAATAACTGATGTAACTATGCATTGTATAAGGCAAAATATTATGGATGTCAACTTCTTCTTTATTGTATACACAACGGTTCTGGGCTATTCCTTGCCCCTTCGTCAGGTGAATGCTAAGTAACAAATATACAGGATATATATACTAGCAATGTACATGAAGCCATAGTGATTTTAAGCATGTATATACAATAAATAGGGATTATAAGATGAAAGAGAATATGTATTGTAGCTATGTTAGGGATGCCTACCCCCAGTCCTAGGGACTTAACAAAGTGCACACATCTGCACATGATGCAGATCGAAGCTGATCATGACAGCATATATCCAACTGTGGGCTAAAGAAGCATGCCCATTGAAATTTGTCTCGTCTTCAGGTGACAATCTTTGTTCTTGTGTAATTCTGTCATAGAAGAGTACACAAATGGGCCATATATTTTAATAGAAGGTTGTTGATATTTCATGATTTTGTCCAAAAGATAAAACAATTAAATTTAGCTGATTTCTTGTTTTTTGTTGTAAAAAATGTAGCTCAATATCCGTACATTAACAGATCGTAACTGAAACATATTTTATCCAGAGGTGAATAGCGTTGCTTTAGGTTTTCACTGTCTTCACTTTAGACAAACAG